TCAGCATTCCCGGTAGCATGAACTACTCAGTCTCACCTCTCAGCCTTCTATGTCAAGCTGTATTACTGTAAATCTTCTGTGTAACAGATCTCCAGGACACAATACTTTATCACCGAGGTACTATTCATGGGTTATCCAATGTCGAGTGACTGCAGCACTAGGATACACAGGGCCTGCAAACAAGTACTTGCTATCCAATCAGCAAAGAGAAAAGCATGTAATCTCCAGTTTCACATTCTATGTTTCCCCTATCGCGGCCCCTATTCTGTAGTGGGTTACTATGGCTATAGGGATTGTAGCACATTACTCTGGCCCTGATCTTTTTTTTGCGAAAAAAGGATATTACTAGTTCTTCAAGCCATACGATTCCTTTACCAATCGGTGCTTGGCCATGTCTGATTTCTGCAGCATGTGAAGTACACCGCTAGTGGAAACGGTGTGCCATCGCTCATGGAGATGCAGAACAACCAGCTGGTGCTCTTGAAGGCGTTCGACTTTGAGACACAGAAGCAGTACGTCCTCAACGTTCAAGTGACTGATGACGGAAGGCCACCACCAGCTCTGACCACTTCCATCAAGGTTGTCATCAACGTAGCTGGTGAGTGTTCCCAAGTGACACACACTTGCACGTCCAACTCCATGAGAGAGAGAGAGAGAGAGAGAGAGAGAGAGAGAGAGAGAGAGAGAGAGAGAGAGAGAGAGAGAGTAGCTTACTGAACAATCATGAGCAAAATGAACTCAAGTAATACTCGGACTGAAAGAACAAACAGAAGCACGAGGAACACAATCCTCCTTCTAGCTCCGTCAAAAGCACCAACAAAAGCAAAAAAACGGTGGAAACGGTGTGCCATCGCTCATGGAGATGCAGAACAACCAGCTGGTGCTCTTGAAGGCGTTCGACTTTGAGACACAGAAGCAGTACGTCCTCAACGTTCAAGTGACTGATGACGGAAGGCCACCACCAGCTCTGACCACTTCCATCAAGGTTGTCATCAACGTAGCTGGTGAGTGTTCCCAAGTGACACACACTTGCACGTCCAACTCCATGAGAGAGAGAGAGAGAGAGTAGCTTACTGAACAATCCTCCTTCTAGCTCCGTCAAAAGCACCAACAAAAGCAAAAAAACCGGAGTGCTAGAACCGAAAAGGGGAGCTGCGATGGAAGCCATGCAAAGCTCCAGCAGGTGCAATACAGATAAGTTCAAAGTGCATATGCACACGAGCTGAAATGTCACAGCCATGTACAATGCACTAATGCAATGAAAAACTTTTAAAAATTATGACTATATGTCCATCTACATCTGATTCAGGGAAATGCTCATTCTTGGTGGATGCTAACGTGTGGACCTTTTCTGTTTACTTGCAGACACCAATGACCTGCCAACGCAGATCAATCTGGTTTGTAAGAATGGCGCCCTGTTCCCTTTTGCCAACACAACCACTCGCCCGATGAGCTCACCATCGATGATGACCAAGAGCGCCAACATTACCGTTCCCGTGTGGCCGAGCAGAATCGTTACTCACCCTGGAATCCCCAACACCGCTGAAGACTGCTCCGTGATCACTTCAGGAATGACCATGCCAGGTGAGTTTTGCAATGGGGCACAGCCCACTGTTCTAGGCTGACCCGCATGCTAGCATTCGCGGCTCTTTATCTAGTTGATATCTTCAGGAATGACCATGCCAGGTCAGGTTTGCAGGGGCCCACAGCCCACTGTTCTAGACTGGCCGGCATGCTAGCATTCGCGGCTCTTTATCCTCTCCTTACTCCTGCTACTTTTATTAAGCATGCCAACATTGTCTATGCTCGCAAAGACAAGATATTGTAAGTTTAGAAAACTGCAGAGCTGTGCATGAGCAGCTATTGCTGTCGTTTGCTATCAATGTATGTGAGTTGCTGTGGAGTCGTGCATGTATAATTATGTACTTCAAAGTATGCATAATCATAATATGCGTGCATGCATGCCATGTGCCGCCGTGCAGGTTCGATCATCGGCGAGGTCTACCCCGAGGACCAGGACGCGCAGAAGTGGTACACGTTCATGCTGCTCGGCAAGGACGCGCAGTACTTCACGCTCTACCCGTACGGCAGCATGCTGATGAACAAGTACTCGCACTCCGCCCTCGTCCTGCTCAGGACCGACGTGGATATGTACAACATGACGCTGGGCAATCCCACCTACGACATCTACGTGGATGTGTACGACAACTACGGCCAGCAGCAAGTCGGCCACATTGTGCATATCAGAACGGAAGGTAGGAGAACACACATCACTCTTTTACAACCGGGTGCTTTAAAAATAAAAAAGGACACTGGGAATTTTCAGACTTCCTGGAAGTGGTCGTTAGTCATGCTAGCTAAGCAGTCTAAAAGCTGGGTGGAGCATGAATGAATGCACAATCGTCGGTTTTCTGCTGTGTGCAGCAATTGTGGAGTTGCACATTCGTTTTGCCACCTGCTTTACGTTTAGATAGGCGTGCACGTTCATAAGTATCGTGACTGTGTAGTCACTGTATGCATGTGCGTGTTGTTCTCTTCTTTGTGTGCAGATGCATGCGTTGCCAGTGCGTCGCAGTGCCTGCAGCAGGGCACGTGCATGCCGTCCATGACCCTTGGACAGGTCACCTGCGGCTGTCCGACGGGCAGCTTTGGAGACGGCCGCCTGACCAGCGTGGGAGGAACTGGATGCAAGGGTAGGTCTTCACTCAGGCTAGGCACCAGTGCACACAGTGCACACAGTGCACACAGTGCAGCGTTCCAGCACACGTACATGCACATGTAGTGCCCATGCCAGTGTCCAGATAACTCGAGGGGGCCCGGGGGGGGGGGGGGGGAGGGTCATTTTCCGGAGAGGTCAATCCCTACATGTATACAGTGAGAGGAGAATCATGAGAAGCTTTTCGTGATGGGCATGTGCAGAGTCTTGGCTGAGTGATGACTGAGTGATGACTTTCAAGCTAAAGGGCATGCAATATCTTTGTCAATAGCTGGTAAGTGAGGCCCAACACGGTACACTAAATGCTAACTATAGAATATTTATTTATTCCTGATGGCCACCCTGCTGTTCTTTCCTGTGCATAGCTTGCAAAGCCGGCGAGCTACCCGACGCGGCCGGCAACTGCCAGCAAGTGAACGAATGTGCCAGCAACCCGTGCAAGCAGGGCGTGTGCGTGGACGGCGTGTTCAGCTTTACTTGCACCTGCCCCAGTGGCTTCACCGGCACCTTGTGCGAGACCAACCTGGAAGGATGCGCTCTGAACAAGGGCGTCTGCCAGGTACTTAATTTATTAATCAGTGCTCATGAATTGCTTATCGAACACCTGTCTGCGCTCACATCACATCATCATCATGCATGCTGCAACTCTGAAATTCCTAAGAGGTGATCGGTGAGCAATGTGTGGATTACATGATAGGACACGGCCTGAGTTGCCTGCAATGTGTTGCAAGTTGATGACTCCCTGCTCTCTCTCTCTCTCTCTCTCTCTCTCTCTCTCTCTCTCTCTCTCTCTCTCTCTCTCTTGTTTGTGTTCGTTCCTCCTGCCCGTACGTCAACAGAACAATGGTGATTGTGTGGATACGAAGGGAGCACTGACATGCATGTGCAAGACCGGCTTCACCGGAGCACACTGTGAGTACTACACGGCCGCCTGCACCAGCTTCCCGAGCACGTGCGAGGACAAGAGCGCCAAGTTCTGCGCACTCACTCCTCACGTCGGCACCCTGGAGAGCACTCCACTGTAAGTACTGTTCACACTGTGCTGGTTGTGCTGCTGCTGCTGCTGCTGCCGGTGGCGGCGGCATGTGTTTGTGTGTGTTTGTGTGTGTGTGTGTGTGTGTGAGTGTGTGTGTGTGTGTGTGCATTAGTGTGTGTGCATTAGTGTGATACACATGCACAGAAATCTAAGATGGGAAGAGAGCAAGAGAACAAGCAGGAAACCAAGATAACGCAAAGAGAATGTGTGTAAGCACACACATCATGCATTGATTGTGTTTGTTTGTGCCTTGTCGCTGCTGTGCAGGTGCGTGACCAACACCGACATGATCCACGCCATTATCACTGGTGTTCCTGAGGGTCTAAGCACCAAGACTCAACAGTTTACTCACGTATGTTCTGGCTATCTGGATGAAATCCTCGCGAACGAAGCCTTCCCGCAGGATTTCAATGCCTACGCCACTGCTCAGCTGGGCCTTGGCTCACGCAAGCGCCGATCCACCCAGTACACCCAGCTAGCAATGAAGCCCTACCTCTCTCAGGTGATCAATATCACCGTCCTCAAGTCCGACACGATTCTGGTGTCGTTCTCTGTTCTTTCGGCCGCCCAGTCCTATCACCTGTCTCACATGACTACCATCTGCAAGAAGCTGGTCAGCTTCAAGGACGTCCACTGCGCCAATTTCAATGATTGCGTGCTGCTGCAGACGGTAAACTTTGGATGCAGCCCAGTACCATACGAGCAGCTGCTTGAAAATCAAAAGGAAATATTCGGTGAGTCCTGGTTAGGTCAATGATACTTTACATTTGTGAAATGCGTACATTCAAGTAATGGTTTAACAATGGTCATTTTTGTTTGGTTTTCAATCGTTACTCTTTGTGGATATTTAACAGTTGGTTTGTGCGGCTCAAAAATGCCACCATTCTATTTACCTACTTGAATGATGATTTATAAGAAGAAAAGAGGACCAAAATGAATGATGATTATATGAATTTTGAAAAAGTGTTAGCTCCGCCACTGTCCACTTGTGTGCCTGTGTTGTCTCCTTGTTCTGCACCGGCCACTCAAACTCATTACACACTTGTGTGCCTGTGTTGTCTGCCTGTCCTGTACCGGCCACTAGATGCTCTGCACTACATCCAGTCCTACTCTCCAGAGACAAAAGCAGCTCCTTGCATAGAGGGCAGGGCGGACTGCAATCCGGTGGAGCCGCCGCCAGAAGCTCAGGTTGAGTCGAGCAAGTCGCCGTTCTGGAAGACCACCACGGGAATTTCCATCATAGCCGTGTGTGCGGTTACAGTCCTTGTGGTGGCGATTATTGTCGTGTACTTCATGTCCGGAAAGCAGAAGATCAAGAGCCGCTATGAGGATCGCCGACTGATGGATGATGCTGACACTGTTTCGGTGAGCAAAGTGTTTTTAAAAGCTTTTAACCTGAATGGCCAAGCTCTACATTATACTGTGCTATTGCTGTACTTGATGCGCATGGATGTGAGAACATGGACACAGGTGTTGCACTTTGCCCCAGCCTGAATAGGTGGTAACTCACATTCCCTGTAGCCCTGTCATAGAGCAGTGATCAAATAGTAGGAACTGTCCTACAACACTGTTGAGAAGTATAACTACGTAGCCTACTTTGATCAAGCTGACGGCCTGTCTGTTTACCATGCGTGTTGTGTTGCAGACTCACTCCGGTGTCTCCGGCAACTACCCCAGCATACAGCAGAGCGGCCGCAACTTCCAGGGTGTGAAGAACCCGCTGTTCGAGGGCCAGGCAGCAGCCACCGAGACCAAAGAGAACGCCATGTACGATTCTGCAGGTGGTGACCTAGTCATGGATAATGCCATGTATGAAGCCGGCGATGGTCAAGAGCAGTTGTACGAGGAACTGCCAAACTGACAGAGAGAGAAAACAGGATAACTGAACTAGAGTGCACTACACAGCACCTGCTATCTCTCACATGGTCCTCAGTGCGGGCCAATCATGATCATCACTCCTGTTAAATTTGAACATTGAACTGCACACTTCTATTGTAGTACCCCATCATGTTAAACCACTGTGTGCACCGCCCGTGCGTGCGTGCAGCATACATGCGTGGGTGTTGTTCAGCAAAGATCAGTTGTCAGACTGCCATCCAAGCCGGCCGGATGCATTTTTCGGTGACCCATTTCCAGTACGTCGGCACGGCATCTAGATTAGACAGCTCGGCGACTTTAGGCAGTCTGTGTTATAATTTATTCTTTGTGCCGCATCCGTTTTTAGCGGGCTCAATACTATGTTTGTTATCAAATTTTCATTCTGAAGGCAGAATCTAATTGCATGCATTCTATTTTCAACTACCAGTTGGCATTTCCATCATCCATCGCTTAGGTCGAACCGTCCCGTAATTTACCCGCAGGATAGCTGGCGTCGTCATTAATAAGAAAATGCCTTGAATAGAATGCCCTAATGGTTGCTTTTCTCTTTCCCTCAAGGTGAGGAGGATGATGGTGTGCTGACTAGGGTGGGCGAATGATAGGTGGTATGACATGTCACAGACAATGCCTATAATTATGCCATTCAACGAATTACAGTCAACTCCACTTATAACAAACTCGCATATAGCAAATTTCGTGATATAGAGAACCATTGCCCATATCCCTGTTTGAGCCCATACAAAGCAGACCCTTTGTAGCCGACAGTTTTCGTTTATACAAACAAACTATGTGATAGGACCACATGTTACCCAAGTGCACTCATACATACATGGACCACATGATACCCAAGTGCACTCATACATACATGGACCACATGTCAGTCGTGGTGTGTTGCTTGTACAGTGTGAGTACACTTCTGTTATAAAGAACTTCACGGCTGTGAAGAGCAAATCAGTCTCCTACACAATGGTGTTCGTTATGATAGGAAATCGATTGCACATGCAGAACACTCACAGTAACCATGGTAGCCACTATACCTAGTCATGGTCTGATCACCAGGATTCTCGCCGGGCAAAATAGTAGGAGGGAGGTGGGGAAGGCGAAGCAAAGAGGCGGTCCAATCCCCGCACCCCCCCCCCCCTTTGGCTCGTGTACAGTTCTGCTGAATGAAATCCAATTGAGTGAGTCCAGTTAGCGTCCTGGCTATAAATAATATCTGTAAACACCCGGTCATACGTGTAGTGCAGCTGCAAAACGCCTGGCGTGTACTTGATTCATGCGATCGGATTTCACTGAGCAGTACATTCTTGTGCAATCATGCATATGTAGGTTGGTTCTCTTCATGTTATTGTGACCTATTTCATAGATGCTGGTTGCCTTGTTGCTCTCTCTCCCCTCTCCTCTCACCCAAGCCATTCTGCATAAGCGAAGCTGTGGACGCAGCATACTGCTGCTACACTGCAACGCGGGAATGCGTATAATAATAATAATAGTACTATACCCAGTACAGTAAAACCTGGTTTAAGTGACCACCCCACGGTGCAAGCAGAAGCAGTCGTTAAAGCCAGGTGGTCTTCAGAACCAGGTCCCACAGTGCGTGTGTGTGTAGAACTGTCCGTGCATGGAAAAACGGTCGTTAAGAGCAGGTGGTCGCTAAACCCAGAGGTTGCTTACACCAGGGTTTCCTGTACTATACCGGCTTTGCTAAGCACCCTGCATTGTATTGCTACATTACACCCTGCATTGTATTGCTACATTACACCCTGCATTGTATTGCTACATTACACCCTGCATTGTATTGCTACATTACACCCTGCATTGTATTGCTACATTACACCCTGCATTGTATTGCTACATTACACCCTGCATTGTATTGCTACATTACACCCTGCATTGTATTGCTACATTACACCCTGCATTGTATTGCTACATTACACCCTGCATTGTATTGCTACATTACACCCTGCATTGTATTGCTACATTACACCCTGCATTGTATTGCTACATTACACCCTGCATTGTATTGCTACATTACACCCTGCATTGTATTGCTACATCATATCAGTGAAAGGAGGTCTAGGACCCAGTCTGGTCTAATTGAGCACCCCAACAGACCGCCATAAAAGAGTATTCGCAGATGCATGGAGTTTGTTCAGGACCTGATCCAATAGTTATTAAAAATGCAAAGATCCTTGCATTGCAAAGAAATAAAACAACATCTGAACCTCTACTCACAGTGCAACAAAGAAGTCAAACTTTACTGACCGCAAGCCACACACATTCACAGCTTGCCACCTATGTTTACACAATTCAAATAAGAATCATTCAATGTTAACTTTTGAGTCATGAAACTCAACTTGCGAGTCATAAAATCTCAACTTGGCATAAGATATTTGTGCGGTGCAAAGATCATGGACAGGAGGAATGTGTGTGTGATGTCACGTTCATAGAAAGAAATGATGCGACCACAACTGAAATAGATACCTGAGCGTCTGAAGCCGAATGACTGGCATACTATGTGCGCTCACACTGTTGGGGATCCCATGGCGCAGTGCACAACTGCCGCGGCCTTATAACTAAAACTAATCAGGACGACGTTCCGGAAACCTAAGTATCGCTATTTAGAGCCAACCTAACGCTGAACTGACCGGCAAGCAGCTGCAAACTACCAGTGGCAAACCCATGTGAAGAAGAAGAGGACTTGCACCCAACAGGATCACAATGGTCAGTTGAGTTTTCTGGATCAGCACATGTGTTCTGTTCGTCTCCAGCTTCATGTGTCGAGGACTCCAGTGATGCAGAGGCGATCTTTTCAAACAGCTCTCGACACTACAGTGGAGACACCAACACGCATACAGGGCAGGCAGCCGTACTGAATGCTGATGCTAGCAATGTATTGAACGTGCAGTTCAGGTGGACATAAAAGCAAAGGGGGCTAATGTGCACATGGGTGCGCGTGCATACACCCCCCCCCCCACACACACACACGCACCCCTCCTCCCCTCCCCCCCCCCCCCCACACACACACACAGCCCCCCACCCACACATACGCACCCCTCCTCCCCTCCCCCCCCTCCCCCACACACACGCACCCCTCCTCCCCTCCCCCCCCCCCCACACACAGCCCCCCCCCCACCCACACATACGCACTCCCCTCCCCCCCCCACACACACACCCACATCCACACAGATAAATGCCAGCAAAAACTATCCTAGCATACCTCTTCCTTGCTTCGGGAGCTGAAAAACTGGAGATTCAATTCGAAGCGCTTGGACTCAGAAAGTTGCTTCAAGACCTTCATGACAGCTGGAAGATCCGCATCCAGTGATTCTAGACACTGGATCATAACGGGCCCACATATTGTGGGAGAAACAAAGACAGGAGTGGTGAGAGAGGGGGAGGGAGAGAGAGAGAGAGAGACATGTAGATAGATAGAGATAGATACGGAGATAGAGAGATGGAGGGAGAAAGAGAAGGCAATGGGGGACATTACATGGTTGTCTATAGCGGTTAGCTACACGTGGGATGTCGCTTGGAACGCTGCATTCTACACGCCCACTCCCCACTCTCATTGATGACATGAGCATCAACTGTATTGCCAGCTAGCAGCCATTCGCTATGAAGTGTTCTGTTCGAGGGGGGGGGGGGGAGGGGGGGGGGGGGGTGAGCCACATACAGATAGCACAGATGTATTTCGCTCAAATTCACCAGCAACTTCTCCCTAGGGAGCAACACGCAATTCCCCAAGAATCGCCGAAGTCGCACCAATCTCAACTTCTCCTTAGGGTCCCTTTAAAGAAGCCTCTTACAATCAGGTATTGCCTGTCGAACATTCATCTTGAGAAAATGCTTCAACACTGGACCAGTGCAGTGTTGGTAAGGAACTGTTGGATGTTTGTACTTCGAAGTATGTACACGATTGTACTCTTTCATGCAGTGCTTCGGTACTAAATGTATAAGTATACACCATGGTTGATGCAGCCGTACCTGATTCAGAGCAAGTATGGCTCCCTCCAAGATATCCGAGGATACCTCGCCGCGAAGAACCTCCACTCCAGAGCCGCCACCAGCCACCAGAAGTCTGTTGTTGAGTGAGACAAGGTATACACGACAGCCAAAATCCTCAGTGGACTGTCACCAAGAGTCCATAACCCCAAGAATGTGCAACTGGCGTCTGGCTTCTGTAGGCCCACTGCGCGGCGGAATTCCAACGTCACGTCATGCCGCTGAGGCACAGAGGCCAACACTTTGCATCCTGCGGTGCTTGGCACCAGGGAGTAGTACAAGCGCAACGAACGTGTACGTCATTTTTGATGTAATGTTGGAATTCCGCGCCGCGCGGATCCCCATGTACAGAGTTGCACACTCTTGGGGTTATGGACTCTTGCCGTGACTATTGTCTTGAAGCTGGAAGATACATGTGAAGTAACATGCTCTCCTACGCACTTCCAACGTGGCTAAATTCCAATGCCACAGCAGACCAAAAGCTAAGCATTGCTGTTGTGCTGTGTTGGTGAAATCCATTCATGGGTGTGCACACTGAACCGATGGCACTGTAATCGCGAGATCAAAACTTATTGGTCACAGCTTCAGGGCGTAGTGGAAAAAGTAGACCATCTTTTGGGATCAGCCAATCAGCCTACCTGTATCTCTCACTGCTGCTGCTTTTCTTCCAGATTTTGTTGAATTCCAGAGTTGTCCTGGGTAGTTTCACGTGAAGATCACGACCTCCTCCTGAGCTCGGCGCCAGAGCGGTGCCACCACTCGCAGGCTGTGCGCTGCATGAGTCGCCGTCGGCTGAGTCTGGATCTCCAGATGATGCACTAGCGGCAGCAGCAGTAGTAGTGGCAGCAGCACTGTCACACGCTGTATTCCAGGGCTGTGTTGGTCGAGATTGAATGCGGTCCTCGGGGCTAAGTGGTTGCAAGTGCGAGGCCTGGACGATCTCTCTGAATGAAAACACACACACACACACACACACACACACACACACACACACACACACACACACACACACAGTTATTCTCAATGTTCCTAAGTCTGAGGGACTGCAAAGGGAATCAAGTTACGCTTAATCCCACCTGCCGATGCGGCGGTACAGGGAGGCCCATGCCTCCCAAGTATGCTGGGTGTCCAACTAATCAGTCTCAGCCATCATAATCTACCCAGAATTCTCACCCGTACCAAATCATACACGATCATTGATCATCGATCTTGATGTCATGCATGTGAGCCAAACTGAGGAATATGTTCCGATCATTCTAAAGACCACTTCTCCTGGGCAACAGTGCCCCCCCCCCCGACCTATGCAACAAAAGTTACAAAAAGTCAAAAGATGGTCAAACGAGTTTACAAGTAATATCAGTTGAATCTTGTGTGGCCCCTGCCAATTATTGCAGCTGCTTCTTTTTCCCTTTTCTTTCACGACTAGTCATAGCTACGGTTGTATTCGATGTAAAAAGAGAAAAAGAAAACAATTCAGCACCATAGCCACAGCATTACAGGGGCGTTGTCGACACTCACTTGAACTCTTCATATGTGGCCACCTTCTGGTGAACTGCGCGGAACTTGGCATCGTTCTCTCTCGTATAGCGTTCGTCCTTTTCTTGCGCTCGCACGAAGTTCTTGCGTAGCTGCCTGAAGTCCACGTTTGATGTGTTGGCGGACGACATTTCGCAACATTGGATAATCGCCACGGCGTGCTCTCACTGGACAAGAGACTGCACCGATTGTTTCGCGGTCAGCAATGTTTTCGTTTTATGTTGATCTTCTGTAGCCCCAATTGCCAACCACTTCACCATGAATCATGACATGATACGGCACGGGCACAACTAGCTCCAGCCGATCGATGGCATTGAGAAGGGGACGATGGTCCGCTGATCAATGAATGAAGCCTTGTATTGGGCTTGGCCTTAGTTATGTGATTTAGTGAAGTCAGTGCAGATCTACCGCGGCAGGACCATTATGTGCTAGTATCACTGTCACTACTGTCTATCATCAATCATTCCAGCCAGGTTGCCCAAACGACATGTACGGGGCGCTGTCCATGGCAACATCACCATGGAAATTTGGAACGGTTGTGTCTTCGAACTCGTTGTGACCAGGCCAGGGTTGTGCCGCGTGTTCTGCTTCCTATCCTGGGCCGGCTGTAGAGTGTAGTCTTCCACTACACTTCGTACAATCAGAATGGTCAATCATGTAGTTCCAGGCATGCAAGCTAGAAGCGTGTGAATGACTGACATCTACTGACTCAGACTGACAGTCAGTGCATGATTGTGTAGTAAGAGTTAGCAGATACCACACTGTTGTGTAGGGTGCGAAATGAGAGGAAGTGTGAATGGGTTGTGTCTGGTTGTGCACCAGTAAACGGTGTTGGAAGTAAGTTTGTTGTCCGCGCGCTGTAGCTGAAGCCCTGTAGTGTAGGGGAACACCGAACGCAGCTGCCTGAGATAGCGGGTGAGGATCCCTGGGCGGCGAGTCGCGCCCTTCACACTGCCAGCGATGGACAGTACCGATGGCGAGCCCAGAAGCCAGGAGACAAATGAGCAGCATGGTGAAGATGAGGAATCTCAATCTCAATCTCAGACCGCTGATGGGAGCGCGAGCAGGATAGTGGATGACTCCTTACAACTACCTGAACCGGGCTCACCTTCTCAAGGCCGAAGAAAAAGCCTCAAGGACGCCGCCAACATTCTCAAACGAGAAGCTCTCAAACAGTTCCTGCAGGAAAATGAGGGTGAGAACTATTCCTCGACGCCCCCCCCCCCCTCATTACACTTGGGAATAATAACAAGAGCCATTCACTCGCATACCCGTACATGTAACGGTAAATTATTGATTTGCATGAACATGAACAGCATAACGTCTGCTGTGAAGCCCGCTGTAATTGGACGGGCTGCCTTGGCAACTGTTCAAGTAGCACCATCTATCCAGTAACTGATGGCTGCCATGCCGGTATCCAGCCATAGAGCGGGAGTGCACCCTCTGATACAGTACTAGCCAGTACAGCGACATACATTCACACCGTTGTGTTGGCAGGACTGATTCTGAACGCGAGCGATTCTGAACTACAGTCCTGGCCAAAGAAATCCGACCTGATGAACGTAATAGTGCCAGGGGATGCGCGGCCCCGCTTGTAGTCCCACACACAACACTTGTTTTTTACATCTACAAGTGCAACCTTGTCATAGCAGCTACATGTCACGGTGTAGCATGGAGGAAATGATGTTTATCTCCTTGGGAAGTTCCTGACACAATACCATACTTATTGTCAGAATAGTCGTGCAAATGAAATGACACAGTCAACTACAGCGCAATGCGTATTGCGTATGCAGCGGGGTGATTTGATGTAGAGATGACGCTACCACTGCATTCGTCATAAATACATTGTACGTGACTTACACGCAATGTAGCTAGATGCATTCAAGAAGGGTGCCGAGCAGCAACATTCCACCTTGTACAGGGTATTTTGCTCATCGCCCACCACATATAACTGCGCTCTCCGGCCAACCTCGACACGTTGCTACCGCACACCATGAGCAAAGCGACACATCCGCAGTTCCTTCATCCAGCTGTTTCGAGTATGAAACTCTCGTCAGTGAAGGTAGATGTTTTTGTAGAATGGCTAATAGATGGTGAACATCGCTCTTTTGGAGCAAAATGGGAAGCATAAGTGCGCGTCTTAGCCAGGCGCAAAGGCTAGGGTTAAGCAAAGGAACAATGTGCAAAAATACTGTGGTAAATGGAACGGGGAAAACAGTATGCCAGGTGTGAATTCAATAGATAGCACGGCATAGCAATTAGCAACGCAAGAGGCCCCTGGGGCATGCACTCGGTCCACTCACCGCACCTGTCGTCGTTACTTCACAGGCATTCTTCAGTTTCCCTGACACTCCCATTGCTTGGCAATGCAGTGGCAGTGTGGAAGCTATGGCAGCTTATCTTTCAGTGTAGTACATTGGTGGGAAAAGGGAAGTCATGTTTCATGCCACTGAGCTAGGCGTTTGCCTTTTTTTGCATTTTTCCCACCACGCAGAGCTATGTTCCGTACTCCACTCCCAGGTCTACAACACCTCAGTTATACCTATACGAGATAATACTTGAAAGTACATGTAGTTCACCACCATCGCCCCGGTTCATGTCTGTATGCTTCTCCTGCTGCACTTCATGTCTGTATGCTTCTCCTGCTGCACTTCATGCTAGCCACTCACATGTATATACCGGTTCGGTATTCTTTGGTAAAAGAAATTCACGGTTCGTGTTACACTCAGCAGTAAGACTGAGTTTTCCGCTTCCGTAGGAAGTTAGGAATGCCACCAGTCCACCCTCATAGGATCGAAGGGAGCAGATGCAGCACCGGAAGCGGTGGGAGGTGAGTAGATCACACCCACTACAAAAATGGTCAAAGACCGAAAATCCCATTCATTGTATCCATGTTTCCCTCGTTCCAGGCCACGAGTAATAAACTGTGGGCCACAGCATGGATGGAAAATCCTTCCGCGTCCAGGTGGGACTTGAACCTGGTACTCTCTGTTTCTCAGTCATGGTCCCTAGACCATCCCATCAATACAGTCATGTACATGATCGTAGCCTGTGCCAACACCACTGGCACTGCCGGTATCACTCCCTGCATGCCATAGTCCCCACTACCGCTGCCACCATCAGTATTCCATTATGCCCCCCCCCCCCCCCCTCCTGCAGTTGGTGGGAAACAAAAATTGATGTTGACTCGATAAAGACAATTTTTACTTTACTTTTAGACATGAAGTGACCACTGGCATGGCACTAGTACTACTAGTACTACTAGTACTGATCAGTCAGGAACTGATACTGATAGTGATACTGATAACGACATGAAGGGCAAATGCATCACCATGGCTACGCCGACTCTGACAGAACTCAAGTACACAAGTGGAGCTAAACAACACAGAGTGAACAGAGTGTGACAAATGAAGGCCCTACAACTGCACAACGTCAAAAGTACACGTCCACGAACGAGGTGTACTACAGTGCGTTTTTTTATAATAGACTTTGAAATCCTTGAGAACGTACTCAAGGCCACTTTTGAGAAAATGTCATGCGAGTTGCGTCACGAAAATCTGCGCGCGAAATTCGAAAACCAGGTGTGACTCGTGGCATTTCGCCATTTTGTTCAGAGTGTCCTTCGAGCTCCTCGTGGCCGGAGGAATCATTTTGTTGCTGACTGCTCTAGCTCTGTGGCCCTATTTTGCTTTTTCTCGAATGTCTTTTCGTTCGTGGCAACTTATTCTCTCGACATGCCACATATAACAAAGCGCGAACGGGCCATGGTAGAATCTTCATGGTGGTGTCTGTTTTACAATTTTTGCGAAGACGAGGAGAACAGTGGCTGGGCATCGAATTGGTCCCAAGTATTCCATTCGTCATGCTGCTGTTGCGTGTGGCGTCAGCATTTCCACCATGAACAGATGTACCAGGGATGCTGACGGCGAAAATCAGCGTGCTGCGTTGGCCTTGTCTGTCTCCAGTGATGAAGGTAACGAGAGTGACAATCCCCAATGTGAGACTCGTGCCATAAAACCACTCAACCCTGACGGATTTGCTTTGGACTGTATGTAAAGAAGTAATTTACGGATTCTATGCTACGAAGGAGCACCCAACACTGGACAAAGTTCCTGCTCGCTGCATAGAAAGCATCGACGATTTTCCAGACATGAGCAAAACTAGCTCTTGGAAAATGTTGCGTTCCATGGGATTCCAGTGTGGCAAGACCAGAGGTATCACACACATGATGATGGAACGGCACGGGATTGTGTCCTGGCGGCATCGCTACCTGTGAGACATAGATACCTGGATGACACGTGGGTCAATGCGCATCACACAGTTACTAGGAGGTGGTCCGACAATGGTGACAGGAGTGTATAGGCAAGCAACCAAATGAAGCACCATCAGGTAAAGGCAAGCGCTTTATTGTTCTGCATACTGGTGGACGGGACGGATTCGTGAAAAACTGCGCCGATGTGTTCGTGACTGGAGACCGACGAGGCCGACGCCAACGATGATATACGTCGTCGGCTGTCCTAGCACATCTGTTCACTGTGTAATACTGCCGTCACAAGTGCAACACAAAACACGGAATTATTGCAATCGGGCCGTTTCGACGCTCGCTGGTCTTCTACTATTCGCAGATGTTGAACCAGACACAACTGTGACCTATTTGCATTGTGTGTTTGTGTGTGTGTGTGTGTGTGTGTTTGTAAAACCGCTCATGTATTGCTTCCTTTTAGTCTCTTTATGGGTGCTGTGTGAATTGCCCTTGTGATTTGTTGTGGTGTTTGAATTTTCACTGCATTCTTTCAGTGATCGAGGGAAGTTTCCTACATGCATGCTGGAATGTTTTGTTTTATTGAGCTAATTGCAATACAGCATTTGAATTATTCAGTACAGTTTGCCACAGTAAGTCGTGAAAAACCACGACTCACTGGTTTCCTACAAAGGTTAGGACAACTGCAGACAGCAGTGCACAACTGCACAGTCATGTACGTGTACATGTGTCATATCGGCCTCGGCAGCTGACGGGTTCTCCCGGGCTGTACGACGAACTAACTACTCTGCCGGTACTAGTTTACATGTTGGGTGAACGTGTTCCCCTCATGAGCGCGCGTTTGTACGGCAGTTGTCTTTTGTATCTACTTGTCACTTTTATCAATGCATGGGCCGCGGGATGTTGTATCTGCTAACTGTCTTATCGTATACGCTTGCTGTTTAGTTAATTCATAAATAATACGCATTTCTCCTTGTCTTCTCCCATTGGTCAATTCTGCATAGCAACAAGCTCTCTATGGTCTGATTGGTTGGGTTTTCCCGCCTTTGCTACTCCTTTGTGTAACTCGATCCTTTTTGTTCTCGATATAACCCCTGCTGCTTCTGATGAAAAGTACCAACCTTCCTTCGATCTTCACTCTTGAATCGAGCTGGAATCATAGTGACTCTCAACCTTATTCGAATGACCAAGGTGAGCGTGTGTGGCTGAATGGATACTTGGATCAACTATATTGGTTGATGACCTGTGGGGTTACTACGGCAATGCGAATGTATATGTTGTAGCCTTGAGATCGGTATTGTGTATGTCCGGCACGACATATTTGGTGCTGTGACCAGGATCCAAGTTCTATTCTTCTGTATGCGATTGCTTACAGATGCCTCCGACAACTGTCAGCGTCGACAACATGATGAAGGCCGCCGAACGCGGAGCAGCAGCCCTGGAAGCCCTTGGGGAGCATGAGCAAGCGCGCCATCTCCGCCGAGTCCCGCAACATTTGGGTCCGTTGCTTCGGCACGCCAACGACCTCCAAGCACTGGGGATGACGCCGGCCGAACGGTCGGCAAAGAAGGGTCGGAAATGGAAAGAGCGAAAAGGTCGTCGTGCTGCCGAGGCGACTAAGGAGAAAGTGGGGGGTGCGTCCGCATCCTCCGCGACCTCCTCGGTCTCCTCGGTGCCGGCGAGCCCCAAGAGAACTGAGGGAAATTCCGACTCTTCTTCATCCGCCGGTGCAGCTCCGAGGGCGGATTCCAAGGGCGCGACTGCGTCCGAAGAATCTGCCGAACTCGGAGTGGAGCGTCAGCGGCAGCGGGAAGAGGCACACGAAACTCGTCAAGCACAGGCGGCCGGGTGGTCTGCCGAGCTCGACGAGCAGATGAAGGAACTTGAACAAGAACTGCTCATGGATGATTTGTGAACATTTTCAATTTCGATCTTCAATAAACAAGACCGGATGGTCGTTGGTATCGAAATTCTTGTGTTCTGAGTGATCTGGTGATCGGTTTCTTGCATGCTACAGACTTGACGGGGTGATGGAATGTTGGGGTGGATAATTATCATAATGGTTGTATGTTGTCTAAAAGCCGAACAGATCGAATGATTTGACGGCCGGGCAGCAGACAATGATCGTAATGTAGAGCGATTGCTCTTTGTTGAAGGCAGAGTTGCCTATTTTGGAGAGGATGTGGCTAGGCGAGAGTGTTGACAGAACTGCCAACACTCTCGCGCATGCGGGTTGAACTGGCGCGCGGACTGGTGATCGGTTGATCACCGTATCGTACTACAGATTTGTAGTTTGATGATGAGCTATATGAGGAGGGTTGAACTGGCGCGGACTAGGACTAGGACTGGTGATCGGTTGAACACCATACCGTACTACAGACCAGTTTGACCATGATTTTTGCTGACCCGTACGCGAATGGTGTGATCCGATGACGACTGTAGTACATACGAACGTATGCACTGTGCAGTACTTGTGACCTGAACAGCTCTCATTGGTCGGAGGACTACCGTACGAAGTAGCAAGTGGGGAATATAAGACGCCACTGGGCAAGGAAAAGGTATCACAGTCTTGCGATTGCAAAAGACAAAGATATCCTGTTGAGAGCGAACGCACTCGATTTTCTGATTATCATGGCTCACAATCAGGCTCCGGATGCAGCAGCGAACGCTGCTGTAGGGGGTGCCAATGGTGGGGCGATGGTGGTACGGCCGGCAGTGATGCCTGAAGCATATGATGGCGTGGGGGATTGGGTGGAGTACTTGCAGTACTTCAACCAATGTGCTCGTGTGAACGAGTGGAATGACGTGCAAAAGGCTCAATACTTAGCCGTACGGCTAAGAGGGGCTGCACAAAAATTTGTTGCGACTGTACCTGAAGCCCGCCGAGTGGAGTGGCCTCAGGTCGTAGAGGACTTGTCGAGGAGGTTTGCACCACCAGAGACAGCCCGCCAATATAAGTCGCAATTTAGAACGCGAAGGCGCAAGCCTGAGGAAGACGTCAGTCGATTGGCTGACGACTTGCGTAGTCTTGTACACAGGGCTTACCCGACCATGGGTGGAGACGTACAAGAAGAGTTGGTGCGGGATCAGCTCATTGATTCCATGACTCCTGACAGGTTGCGATTGCGCTTACAGGAAAATGCACCACGAACGGTGCAGGAAACGATCGAGATGGCTAACCATCTGGAGAGGGTGTGGGGGAACGAGGGCACGCACGGCCGAATGGACGATGCGTATGGCGTACCACGTCAATTGGTGACGGCTGCGGTTGCACCGTCAGAGCTCCCTACGTTGGAGTCGTTGGCAAAGTTGGTGGAGAAGCTTAGTGATCAGGTGGACAGGATTGCCCACCCTCCTAGGCCGAACCAACAATTCAGGAGAGGGGACCAAGTGGACAGAGTTGACCACTATAGGCCTGAACAATCGAGGGGTTTGACTTGCTGGTTCTGTGGCCGAATGGGACACAGAAGAGCTGACTGTCCAGACTTGATGAAACCCGGAAGGGAGTACCAATCTCGCCGACCGGCGGGAAACGGGCATTGATCGAGACGGCGGGCCGCGTCTGCGATCAAGAAACTGTGCTGGGTCCAGAAACTGAGGCGATTGTCTCGGATGCTCTAGAGAATGACTCTGAAGTGGTCGCTGCCTTGAGCAGGGCAGCAGAAAGCCACGGAGGTATGATGATTGAGGGAAGGATTAATGGGCTGCCAGTAGAGTTACTGGTAGATACGGGTTCCTCAGTAAGTCTAATTTCTGAGACCCTCTCGCAGCAGTTGGGCTACATGTTGGGCGACCTGGAACCACCAGAGAAGTCGACTGGCTTCTGCGGTGCGGATGGTCAGAGGTTGCATGTGTGTGGCACGGTCGCTGCATGTTTGGCAATACAGGATGCTATTTGTGTCCATGAGATGAAGGTGATTCGAGGGTTGCGGTATCATTGCCTGATTGGGAGGGATGTACTATCGCAGATACCTTGCGAGATCACGTCGAATGATGGAAAATTGAACTTCAAGGCTGATAAGGCTGAAGTTTCAACGGTGGGAACATCACAACGCTGCCATAATCTTCGATTGAAGAATAGGGTAGTTATACCTCCATACTGTGAGATGACGGTGGCTGCCGTTATCGAGAACAAGGAGGATGTTCCTTCATGTGGCATCACCGAACCAGACGGCTGTCTGATCGATGGTGGGGATGTTTTGTTGGCACGAGCGGTTGTTTGTCCAACAGATGAGGGTGTACCCGTTCGGGTATTGAACTGCTCAGAGGAGTCAGTATCTTTAGGAAGAGGTGCCCGAGTGGGACAGCTGCTACCTATTTCAGCCGTGATGAGTGTCATGGGCGAAGACGAGGATGATTGCGATCATATAGGAATGGAATCCACGGGGGATTCGGGAAGTTCCGAAGACTTATGGTCGGCGCTCAACATTGGACTAGAAGGTCCTGTGAGTGGGAAGTCTGTGTCGGGGGATGACGAGCTGCAGCTCGGTTATGAACCTGGTGAGGGCACAGCGGAGGCGAACCGGGAGACGTCTCGTGTTCAGCCTGGTGGGCAAGGGTCAATTGGGAATGAGGAATTGGCACGCTTGCGTGATCTCGTCTGTCGCTACCGGAGGGTATTCGCGATGAACTCTGCTGAATTGGGTCGCACGACTGTGCAACACCACAACATTAACACCAAGGGAAGAAGTCCTATCTTCCAGGCTCCTAGGCGATTGCCTTGGAATTCAAGGGAAGCCACCCGTGAACTAGTGAAGGGCATGAAGGAACAAGGGGTAGTAGAGGATTCTACTAGTCCTTGGTCTTCGCCAATAGTGCTGGTTAAGAAGAAGGATGGCTCAACTCGATTTTGCGTTGATTATCGCAAATTGAATGCCGTTACGGAGCGGGATCCATATCCTCTCCCACGGATTGATGATACGTTGGACGCGCTGAGTGGCGCGAAGTACTTTTCCACCTTGGATTTGTGTTCCGGCTATCATCAGCTGCCTATGGCAGAAGAAGACAAGGAGAAAACGGGTTTCTCCACTCCAGATGGGCACTACCAGTTTACAGTCATGCCGTTCGGTGTGTGTAACGGTCCAAGCTCGTTCCAGAGACTTATGAGTGTTGTCTTGCGTGGGTTACAGTGGCAGATTTGCCTCGTGTACCTCGATGATGTGATTGTGTTTGCAAAGACTTTTGATGAACACTTAGAGCGGCTCGAGGCGGTGTTTGAACGGCTATTGGACGCAGGGTTGCGTCTAAAACCATCCAAATGCTTCTTGCTGCGTACGAGGGTGGATTTTCTGGGCCATGTGGTCTCGGAAGAGGGTGTGAGCACTGATGAGGCAAAGACTCACCGCGTGGCTACGTGGGAGCACCCTACGAATGTAGCGGAAATTCGGGCATTTTTGGGGTTCTGTGGCTACTATCGAAGGTTCGTACCGAACTTCTCGGATGTTGCTAAACCCCTCACTCAGTTGACTAAACAAGGCCATGCGTTCGTATGGACCGAGGAGTGTGAAGAGGCATTTGCTACGTTGAAGAGTCGGTTGACTTCTTCACCAACCCTGGCATATCCACAATATGGACCTGATGCCCCGAGGTTCATTCTGGATGTTGACGCCAGTGGTACGGGATTGGGTGCTGTTTTGTCACAGCAAGATGAGAAGGGGGTCGAACGACCCATTGCCTTTGCTAGTCGATTGACATCTGCATCGGAACGCAGGTACGCTTCTACCAAAAGCGAATTGCTGGGTGTAGTTTGGGCGTTTAATCACTTCAGGTGTTACCTGCTCGGCAAGCGCTTCTTGGTCCGCTCGGACCACAAAGCATTGCAGCATTTGGACAACTTCAAAGAACCAGCGCCGATTGTCGCCAGGTGGTTGGAGTTCCTAAGTCAATTCGAGTATGATCTGCAATATCGAAAGGGCAAGGCTCATTCGAACGCAGATGGCTTGTCCAGACAGAAGACCAAACCTGTGATGAATGTTACAGAAGTGGCTCCTACCGTTCCTGGACCCTTGGTTCAGCGAAGGGACTGGACATATGGGACCTGGGCGATTGCCCAGCAAGCTGATCCTGACCTCAGGCAGCTTTTTGAGTGGCTAATGGATGACGGCGAGTCGGCTGACTTGACCGGAATCAGTCCGACTTTGAGGAAGTACTGGCGGGGACGCCAGCATCTTTCTGTGAAGGGCGGAGTGATTGGAAGGGAATGGGTTGAGCCTGAGATTTCAGCGCCCAGCCGTTTTCAGATTTTGATCCCAGTTGATCTGCGGACTGAAATCTTGAAGGAGTATCACGATTTCCTTGGTCATGTGGGTATGAAGCGGACGATTGCCCAGCTTCGCACTCGGTTCTATTGGCATGGAATGAGTCGTGACGTTGAAGATTGGATCGGCACGTGCACGTCATGTTGTCGACGCTCCCGACCGGTTGGTCGAGGACAAGGGGCACCCTTACAGGTGTCCTGGGCGGGGTATCCCTTCGAACGTGTGGCTATGGATTTGATTCCAGGACTGCCTGAGACTTCAGGTGGAAATCGGCACATTTTGGTCGTTGTGGACTACTTCACGAAGTGGGTAGAGGCGTATCCGTTGAAACGGATGGATGCAGCGACTGTTGCATCGGTATTTGTGAGCGAATTCGTGTCCAGATTTGGAGCACCGGATAGCTTGCATACGGATCAAGGTGCAAACTTTGATTCGAAACTGTTCAAGAACGTTTGCGGCTTGCTTGGTATCAAGAAAACGCGGACAACGGCTTACCATCCGTCGGGTGACGGATTGGTAGAGAGGTTTAACCAGACGTTAGAGCGATTGCTCTCACACTATGTTCAGAGAGACCAGCGTGATTGGGATGTCCAATTACCCGCAGCATTAATGGCGTATCGGGCTACCACCCAAGCCAGCACAGGGTACACGCCGGCGTATCTCCTCTTCGGCAGAGAGTTCTGTCTCCCGCAAGATGTTGCGTATGGCTTACCGCCAGCTGAACAGTTGGATGAACCTACGTATGTGCGTCAATTGCGGTCCCGTTTGGCGGATGTGCACACGATTGTGAGGCACAAGCTCGGTGCAGTGCATCGACATCAGGCGCATCTCTATGATCATAGGGCTGTGTCGGTGGAATTCGCGGAAGGAAGTCTGGTATGGCTCTTGGTACCCGCTGTTCCGGTTGGAACCAGCACCAAGTTGGCGAAATTGTGGAAGGGACCGTTCAAGGTTTTGAACCGGTTGTCTGATGTTGTGTATCGCGTCCGTGATATGGGATCAGACTCGGCTACATGCCAAGTTGTGCACGTGAACCGCTTGAAGAAGTGTCGTGTACGCCCAACACATCTCGCTACGGTTGTACGCGAGGAAGCGTTGAACTCATCTCCGACAAGGAACCCGATCAGAACTGCGTCACCACAACCGAGCTCCTACACGCCTGATACCACAGACTTGTTGTATGCGGAAAGAGCAGGTGGCCGTGACGAGCAGTTTGAAGGAGTAGAGCTACTTCCCATTGATGCTGCAGTAGCACCGGCTGATGTCAACCGTCCAGTTCAAGGAGTACCGTTGCCTCCCGCTAACGCTGCAGTAGCACCGGCTGGTGTCAACCGTCCAGTTCGAAGAAGGAGACCACCCAACGACTGGAGTACGGCTAAGGATTGCGGGACGCAATCTCCCAGAAGGCCGGGGAGATGTCATATCGGCCTCGGCAGCTGACGGGTTCTCCCGGGCTGTACGACGAACTTCCCCGGGTTGTACGACGAACTAACTACTCTGCCGGTACTAGTTTACATGTTGGGTGAACGTGTTCCCCTCATGAGCGCGCGTTTGTACGGCAGTTGTCTTTTGTATCTACTTGTCACTTTTATCAATGCATGGGCCGCGGGATGTTGTATCTGCTAACTGTCTTATCGTATACGCTTGCTGTTTAGTTAATTCATAAATAATACGCATTTCTCCTTGTCTTCTCCCATTGGTCAATTCTGCATAGCAACAAGCTCTCTATGGTCTGATTGGTTGGGTTTTCCCGCCTTTGCTACTCCTTTGTGTAACTCAATCCTTTTTGTTCTCGATATAACCCCTGCTGCTTCTGATGAAAAGTACCAACCTTCCTTCGATCTTCACTCTTGAATCGAGCTGGAATCATAGTGACTCTCAACCTTATTCGAATGACCAAGGTGAGCGTGTGTGGCTGAATGGATACTTGGATCAACTATATTGGTTGATGACCTGTGGGGTTACTACGGCAATGCGAATGTATATGTTGTAGCCTTGAGATCGGTATTGTGTATGTCCGGCACGACACATGCATGTGCTGTACCAAAAAAGAAGAGAAAAAAAGAATCAGGATGAACTGTACTGGATTCGAACTCTGGCGGACACCATGCACGTGATGAGCTTTCCTGGCTAAAACTTTCGTTTTAAAATCAAAATCCACTGAAAACCATTTAAAACCGGATTTTCAGCCCAAACCCGTCCGAATATCTAACTTTGACAATTATTATTATTCCGATTCCCAAACTTAATTTTCTTCGATCCAAGACCCACACAAACGCAGCTGTGAAGAAAAAATTTCAAATTTGGAATGAGAACAAACTAAAAAATCAAAATCGACAAATGTCTGTTTTAAAAAAACGCACTGTAGTGGCAGTGCTAGCCAAAGAAATCCGACCCACGTTCTGTAGCCACGGCTCATGTAATACGGCTCTGTACGGGGCCCAGGCCAAACGCGTAAACGCCACGTTACGCCAGACCATGTGACTTGTGAGTGAAAAGAAAAGTCCAAATGCGCGTTGTCATAGTTTTGTGCTGTCATGATCCTGTGCAGTGGCCGATCCCGACAGTGCGGACGGCATCGCGGTTGGGTCAGAGGTCGCTCCAGAGCTCAGCAACGAGGATGAGCGATCGGAACGGACTGATGCCGAAGAGCCGCAGGGTGACGGCACTGCAGCTCAAGATAACAGCGTGGGCACGGACGATAATGCAGCTGCTGCCGGCGACGCAGCAGTGACGGAACCACCGCAATCTGCGGAGACCACTGGCGACATCGATACGACTCTGGCTGTCGGAGGGTCGGAAGTGGTGGAAAAGACAGGTTCCGCTGAATCTGGTGAAGGTCAGAAAAGTGACGTTGATGCTCGTGGCACAAGTACCGCGGCTTCTGCACCTGCTGTGCCTGACAAGAAACCAGCTGTGGATGGTAAGAAAGTGCTTGACGAATCATGAACATTAGCTAGCTTTCCACATCTTCGTCGTTTGTGTCTGACCGGGAAATGGCATGGCTTGTCTAAGCAAGTCGTGGAACAATGGTCATTGTGTTTAGGGCCCAATGCTTGGACTATCTGTATTCCTTTTTAGCACGAGAGGGATATTTTCTGCTGAAAACGGCATCAGTCAGTGAATGACAACTGAACCGATACTAACACTGCGCAAAGTATAAAGACAGTGTATCGGTGTAACTGCCTAGCGGCCGCAGAAGATAAGCAAAGAGCCGTCTAGGTTAATGTCCCAGCATAATGCGACATACAGCCCCTTAAATTTTGCATTTGTGAAGAAAGCAAGGCTGCTGATAACCACTGGCACTGGTAACGCTGCATGGGGAAATGACCGCTACCAACTATTACTTATGATAACCAGCAGCACACCCATGCAGCTGTAGACTGTACAGGTGCAGGAGTTGTCCGCCTGTTCCGGCCCCGTAGCCCCGGCCCCGTAGCCCCGGCCCCGTAGCCCCGGCCCCGTAGCCCCGTAGGCATACATATACTATCAGCCTGGAGTACTGGGAAGCTGCATAGCAGCATTGAGCAGCTCATTGTCTTTGCTGGTGCACATGTACATGACTGTGCCTCATGTTCAGCTGATGACGAGTCGGACAGCGACATGGAGGGACCGCCAAAACACAAACTGACCGACGACTTTTTCTACGAGGAGCCACCGACGATGTCGACGGCGACGGTGTCCGAGTCTGCTCCAGTTGATCTGGTGCAACTCCAGTATCCTTACATTTAGGTTGTTACGATTGTCGTGACTATGTCCTGGCGTTATGTCATGGTTACGCCATGGTTGCTGGATTTCCACGTCCAGTATGTATACGGATGTTAGGACATTATTGTCGTGCCATCGAAGCCATTTAGTGTACTCTTCTCTTGATGTATGATACATCAACTCGTATAGACAGTCAGTTGGGAACAATCAAATGTTGGCAATTACATGTATAATAGTATAGAGCATGGTGTTGTAGGTACATGCAACCAGGTGGTCTGCATAGGGTGAGCTGGTCCACCCTATGCATGAGTCGATTGTCCTGTTTTCAGCCTTGACGCGCATGAGTCACTCTATGCAGGCTAGGCTCATAATATCAGCCTCAGTGAACCTCTGATGACCTAAACAGTAAACACACAGAGATTCCCCAATGCATGCATGCCGTACTGTGGTGTTGATTAGCCTTCAGTACTGGCAAGCTAAACACGGTCAAACATGCCCTTGTGAACGAGTGGTCAGGAAGCTTTGCATTCGTGCTGAAAGGCACTGCTTGCGTGTTGAGATCACCATTAAGACCAGTGCTTGTGGACAAAGCATGCTATCAGTGGCCCTTGACTATTTGTGTCACGTCACATAGCCACTCATTCGGCTTTGAGTGCACGAAGCGCTCCAACCTGCAGGCACTGGACAAGGACACGGTCGTGTTTGTGTCGGGCAACGTCGTCGAGATCTTCAACGTGCACACCCACCAGCAGACCTACATACGCAGCTCCACTGGCCGTGGTATCGGTGCCATTGCGGTAAGATATTCACCCGCTGTGCTGCCAGTACAGATGCTCTGAATGCTGCGAACGATGTGACTGTTGCATGGGCAAAGGGCCGACTGAGGGCAAGGTTGGTAAATGATATTGTGGATAATTTGCATAGTGGCGAAGTGAAGACTAGAGAGTTTGAAATTTGAGGAGGACTCCTCTCAGTGTGCTCTGGTGGCATGTTGTAAACATGAAATTTTCTTACAAAAAATGCAAGTTCATCAATAAATCTCTGCCTCCAAACTGTGTGGGCATATCGGTCCTGCAGGTTCACCCATCACACAAGTACTTCGCCGTGGCCGAGAAGGGAGACTGTCCGCCGATCAACATCTACCAGTGGCCGTCGCTGAAGCTGTTCCGGATCCTACGCAACGGCACGGTGGCTGCCTACGCACACGTGACCTTCTCGCCGATGACGGTGGTGAATGAGGAGACTGAGGACGGGGAGAACGAGAGCGGCGGTGGCGGTGGTGGCGACAAGCTGGCATCGGTGGGTTCAGCGCCGGATTACATGCTGACCGTGTGGGACTGGAAAACGGAGAGCGTGATCCTGCGCTGCAAGGCGTTCGCGCAGGAGGTGTACCGCGTCTCGTTCGCCACCGAAATCGAAGGCCAGCTGACGACCAGTGGCATGGGTCATATTCGGTGAGTGCTGTTTTCGATTCACCCTGGTAACCCTGTGATAACAGTGATGAACGAAGCAGCTAACACATTGTCACAGCCGCGGTGTGTGCATAGACTTACTGGAGCAGTGACATGCATGGTGGGGATTGCTGAAGAGCAGGAATGCCTGTCTAATGCATGTTCCATAAGCTTTCTCATCTCCACTATGTATATAGGTGAAGTGTATTGTCGTGAAGCAAGCAACACTCTTCTAAATGCTCTGCTAAACATCTGGACCTTTGAAGAACAATTTTCACACCACTTCTATCGTTTGTTACAGATTCTGGAAGATGGCTAAGACCTTCACTGGCTTGAAACTTCAGGGTGAAATTGGCCGATTCGGAAGAACAGAGATCAGTGACATTTGTGGTGAGTGCTCAAAGCTGTGTGTTTTATGATGGGTATGATTGTACTGTTTATGACCCTGCCGACTAGGCATGGTCACGCCCAGTAAACATTTACTCTTTTCTTTGTACGCTTGGAAGTGCAGGCTGCTTTTGCTGCCCTGGGTCACCTGTATACGGTCACCACAAAACAGTGTCACAAGCTTCCGCACAACAACATCACCAAACATTACCTGCTCACGACTAGAAATGCATACGAGAAGATCAATGCGGAGCCGAGACGCATCGCCGAGAGCCGGAACTAGGAGTCCGTTTTTTTTGGTTTTTTTTACAAAATAGCCACAAACCATCATGGTGCAAACGCCGGCAAAAATGCACGGGGATACACATAGGGATAGCAGCCGAAGCAGTGGAGGCGGGGCAAGAGCAGCTCAACCGACCAATGGTCTCGGTTTCAGCACTGCTCATGCGCGCCAAACAGAAAAAATACGAAGTGAGAACAAATGAGCAGGAGCACAACAGAGCAAATAAGAAATAAATAATATGTAGGAAGGAGAGCAGACACACCACACATACACCGTATGAAGTGTAATGCAAAGAAGGAAGCCTGCCTCACACTAAAGGACCACAACGGGATAATTTCAGCAACTGTTAGCTGTTAACTGTGTGTGTGTTTGCGTGCATGCGTGTGTGTGTGTGCGTGCATTAATTAAATGAGTGTCACTGATTGTGTCATTGCCCGTGTGCAGGTTATGTTGAGCTTCCGGATGGCAAGGTTGTGTCAGGCACTGAGTGGGGTAATATGCTACTGTGGGATGGAGGACTCATTAAGGTGGAGATATCCATGAAAGGAAAGAAGTCGTGTCACCAGGTATGCTTATATTACAGCTGTACAGGTTTCTTTGCCAAGTGCCCTGGACTTGTGCCTGCTTGGCAGCAAGATACTTACCAGGCTGTAGCTATTGTTGCATCTCAGTATCCAATGCCTTCTTTTACCACATTACTGGTACTCTGTGTCCCACCCACCAAGGGAACGTCCTTTCATTTCACCTTCCCATGGTACTGTTTATAAATACGTCAGCACACCACCGCCACCACCCCAGCACTGCATGGCTGGAAAAGTGGAAATGCTGTCCTTGAAGGTATGCTTTCCAACAGCCCAAGAGAGCTGGACATCACCGAGTGGCTGGAACTGATGATTGCTGTGATTACTGCAGGGTATGATCGAGGAGATCTTCCTGGAGGAAGGAGAGCTGATATCTGCTGCACACGATGGCTTTGTGCGGGTAAGCGGGCTAGATCTTCTCCTGTTCACATCAGTCAAGCAGTTTCTGTCACTTATCAAGGGTCTCTAGGTACTTTGAATGTGTTCTTCCTGCAGCCTGTGTGAGCACAGTACTTTCACATCGGAGTGCAAGATTTACTTGAAGAGTTTTGCCTAACAAAACGGTTTTAGTTGAGATGATTTAGCTGATGAAATCTTCACTTGCTAGTTGGTCTACTAGTATCTACCCTTTTAATATAGTAACGGCACCTCAAAGTATTTTGACATGACAATATCGGATGAGATTTTTCAGATGTGGGTTATGGTCCTGGTTCTTACACATGCGGAATTGAACACGCCTACCCGTCATATACTCGAGCTGAATATCAGAATAGCTATGGCAGGATTGATACAATGGTAGCGACTCGTTCCCGGCACACTGAGCCTCCTGTCACTTGCAAGCGGCGTGGCTGTTGTACTGCAACAGCCGGTATGCATAACCGCGTGGATGGAAATGCCATGTGCACTGTGTTCCAGCATGCGTGCCATCATGACATTGTTTGTAATATGCGCTTGCTGTTCTATCCAGCTGTGGGACTTCGAGACGATTGATACAGCAGACTTTGGCGAGGACAATGCCCTCTTTGAGGTTGAGCCGATAGCGGAGATCAAGGTACGTGAACTTGTGACATAACTGTGTGATTGCCGGGGAGGCTCATTGGTGCACAAGTAGTAAATTCAAAAAGGGCCACACTAGCCAAATGAAATAGAGGACTGTGATTGCTGTTATTTTTCTAAGTAATTTTATGACCAGCACCGTGACTGCCGTTCACTATTCATTGTCTTTGTGTTCAGGTTGGCCAAGATGTCAGGCTGAAGACGCTGTCAAAGATCGGTGATCCGGAATTCCCCACCACCTGGTTTGCACAGGTTAGTTGAGTGAGTCTGCGTCTCATGTCGAAGCGGAACATGTGGAACAGTTTGTCGCCAGCGTAGTGAGCCACGGGTGTTTTGTGCCACCCTATCAGTGGCAAGCTGGCGACCACTCAGGGGTGGCCAGTTTACCAAACAAAACATGTGAGTTAGCCGTGTTTTCTGCCTGGCTCATGTGCGTTCGGTAATGATTCTCAATGCCGAGACCAGGCCCGGACAGCGCACCTCCGAGTCACTGCCTGTATCAGCTAAGGGGCATGACGCTTGTCCTCGCACGAGGCCATTTCTGGACCAGGAATGGTTGTAGAGAATACGACTGGAAGTGTAGGGTAATCTGGAGAATATTGCTAGAAATACTTCATTAAAGCACCGTGATTCTACATCAGGGAGATGATGGGGCAGAAGCCGCAGAGCACTCATTGTCACCAACCTAGTGCACCAGTGCAACGAAGATCTTGTAAAAAAATCATCAACGCTTCAAAGATCACCAGATAACAACAATGTGTGTGTGCTAAGGCCTGGCTGCCTTGAAAACACCAGACCACAGTTCTGCTTTTCAAAGCATTTCACTGGGTGGGACGAAACTGAGTTACTACCATCGCCAGTACTGAGATACTGACATTCTAGCTATGACTCAGGCTTTCTGTAACGGAATGAATTGTACTTCTGTAAAAGGGTATTCGTACAGTCTTATGGTCTTGAAAAGGACTGTCGCGCTGTCAGACTGTCATAAATCATTACGTTATATTTTGACTTTGAAAACCCTGAATGTTTGATGCCATGTTTTTTCCATACTTCAGGAAAATCCCAATGGTCAAGCATTTCATGCTGTGAAGCTGCTGGAAGACAATGTCACTTCCAAAGTGACAATGTCATGTCATTGTGAAGAGAATTTTTTGGTTTTGTGCACACACCGTCATCATGAGACATGCTTGTGCATATGGATGTGCTCCCTTTTGTGTGTGCTGTAGGATGCAGCCGGGGCTCTGTGGAAGCTTGACATCTCCACACTGCACACGGTAAGTTGACTGGCTACGTGCTGCATGAAGTCATTCGTTCCTCGGTCAATCCTGTGTGACGTTGCACCCAGAACAGCAGGGTGGCCCAGTGCATTTCCAAGTAATGCGGACTGCGATGTAACGGGTGCGCCCTGTCTTCTCATGCATTGGTGTGTGCCGACCGTGTGACTACATGCAGAGGAAGGCACCAGAGCGCCTTGCCACGTTCCACTCTGGTTCAGTGAACGGCGTGGATGTGTGCCCGGCAGCGCATTTTACATGCAGCACCTCCTCGGACGGTAAGATCTCTAAGCAACGAAACATTCCCCAATGGTGGGCTCCCTCCACTGTTGTGAACCCATGCACACATGCCAGCATCAGTCTGTTCAATACTTGTTTTTACAATGGGTGGTGATACAGTGACACAGTTTTAGCGTTGGACTAATTTCGCAGTCCTTGCCAAGTATAGTGAGTAATTAGTCATTCTGATATCCTCAGTAGGACCCCATTCAAAATCAGTAGCAAAGCCCTTTAACCTGCATCCTACACCCAGGAGAAAAATCATTTCTATGACTGTCATGTATGCCGAGTGCCTAGCAGCAAATCTGAGTGTTAGGACCTCAATCTCTGTCTGTGTGCTGTTTGTTGGAATGTAGGATGTGTTCGCATTCAAAACTATGCCACTAAGTTACTGGTCTGCTCTGAAAAGATGTCATCAGGCGGAACGGCAATAATGTGGGCACCAGTGGAGGTCAGTTAGCAGGAGTACGACGAGTATGCTTTGCTGTCGGAGATGCAGCTACCATTGGAATAATGTATGCTTGATGTTTCATTGTGGGTGATGTGCACAATTTGTGTGTACGTGTGTGTGTGTAAATGTGTGTGTGTGTGCGCGCGTGTGCGTAAATATATATGTGTGTGTGTGTGTGTGTGTGTGTGTGTGTGTGTGTGTGTGTGTGTGTGTGTGTGTGTGTGTGTGTGTGTGTGTGTACATGTGTATGCATGCATGTGTGGATGCATACGTGCATCGCGAGAGCAATGTATTTGAAATACTGGCTATACTGACCATTGTGTCCGCTGGGCTTTCTGGCGTGCGTAGGTGGATGAAAAGCTCACCACCGTGCTGCTGGGGTGCAGTGATGGAGTGGTGCGAGTCATGGTGGCGACTAAGAAGTCCGACGCTCAAATCCAGTGGACCAGTCAAACACTTGCTTTGCACTGTGAGGAAGCACTTCAAGAGCGTGCCTTACCACCGCTGGCCACTAAGAATCTGGACGTCCAGCTCACTCTGAAGCAGGCTCTCAAGCCGCACACTAAGCCCGTGACAAAGATGGTGTTCAACACCGACAGGACACTGCTTGCGACCGGGGTAAGAACCGCGTAAGGTCATGCACACTCTGCTCTTACTGCAGTAGCCTCGGAGCAATCACTTCCGTCTGGCACACTCTGCTCTCAGTGCAGTAGCCTCGGAGCAATCACTTCCCATGCACACTCTGCTCGAGCAATCACTTCCCATGCATACTCTGCTCTTACTGCAGTAGCCTCCGAGCAATCACTTCCCATGCACACTCTGCTCTTACTGCAGTAGCCTCGGAGCAATCACTTCCGTCTGGCACTTTTCCAACCGACTTCTGGGTTTGCGGATAGGCGTGACATACTGTGTACAAACAGCATTGGGCATACTACTGCCTGGTTGACAAACTTTGACAGTGTTGCTAGAAACATCTGCATGTTTTCATCATCTAGGGACCGTACTGTCTGGGGCTCTTAATGCATCGGTCCATTACCATTGGTGTCCGGCCATTGTCGGCAGTACAGTGGTTACTGGCAACAGAGGCTAGGATAGGTACTGTTTTCCGATGATCGCTTAGTGCGTGAAACTCGGAGTAAAAACACGTTTTTCCGTCCTCTTACTATTTTTTGAACTAGCACTGCCAATCGGTATTGAGCACTCTATTGGACAGCCTGGAACCTCTCTGTTTTATAGACTAAGATAGGTATGGTGGCCATGCACATTATTAAGACAAGGTCTTCGGTAGGTGTTGGTGTAGCCATTTTAGGACGGAGAGAAGCGTGCATTTCTCCTCAACTAGAGAACAGCTACAGTTCTGTTAAAGCTCTGAAGTCTGTTTTCCTTTGTTGTTGCTGTCGTTCTTGTCATTCCCGCTCCCGTAGTGCTGTTGTCATTGCCATTGTTGTTGTATTCCCCTCTTGGGTTTTTTCACAGAGTGAAGACTGCACCGTGTTCCTCTTCCTTGTGGACAATGGCTTCCATGCCGTCGGCTATGTTGAGATGGAGTCATCCGTGGCCAGCCTGCAATGGAAGCTAACGGCCAAAGTAAGGAAGGAATAGCCGGATTGTACTGCATTAAGAAAGAAGTCGTTCAGTGGCTAAACTTTCAGTTGCCAGAAATCTCCACGTATGTTTTCTCTTCTACAAAATCCACATATCTCCAGACACTGGGGTGAATAATGGAATGTGGTGGTGGGGCCCATTAAGCTCAGCCGACCAGAGGTCTTGGCTTCATAGCTCCATGGACGCACCAAAAGTTTGCTAGCTGTCATGACAATAATTATGCCGACTGTGATTGGCCTGTCTTTTGCGGGAGATCCTCAAGATCTATCTAGCTTCTACCTCATGCTCTCACTGTTCCCTGCCTAACGTATATGCACATGCTCTGTGCCGCTGCTGCTGCAGGATGTCTTGCTCGTTTGCTGTGTGGATGGCGGGTGTGCGGAGTTCGTAGCTCCCAAGACGCCCGCTCCTGAAGCCGTCGAGAGTTTCTGCTTGGCAGAAGTGGAGACGAAGAAGTTCACCTTCACCAGCGTAAAGCAACGTCTTCGTGTGAGTACTCGCTGCTCCACATCACCACATTGCACCGGGATGTATATGTGCTTGCAATCCGCAGTGACTGGAGTTGCTTGATTTGAATTGGCGGAGTTTTGTTTCCATCTATCTATTCCCAATGAACAAGGGATAATCTTGCTGCTTCTTCTGTTTTACAGAAAGAGGAGGAGGATGCACGGCTAGCAGCTGAAGAAGAGGAAAAGCGCAAAGCAAGAGAAGCTGCCAAAGGTGACGAGGATGAAGAAGAGGAAGAAGGCGAGGATGGTGGAAAAGAGAAAGACAAAAAAGGAGATGGCAAGGATATCTCAGATGCGGACAAAAAGGACGACGAGAAGGAAGAAGCTGGCCAGGAAGAAGAGGAAGAGGTGGAGGAAGTTGACATGTCACAAGGCAAAGTGTTGTTTGGCTGCTATGCCAATTGTGTGGACTCTCCGGACACGTTCATCCTATCTGTGGTGAGTTGGGTGTTATGAACACTTCTAGAGTATTGCAAGAATATCATATGTATCCTCCAATGTGCATGTGACTTTTGAGTCGATAACATTCTTGGCTATGTCCTTGCATATTGAACGCATCAACTTCACTTTGTGAACTGTTAACTCAGGGATTACCGTAGATGAGTACCCGGTACGTCCACTTCTCTGCTTTTTTGACTTGTCATTAGGGTAATGTCTGCTCCTCTGTATCTATATCTGTATCTGTATCTATATCTGTATCTGACTTGTCATTAGGGTAATGTGACTTGATTGTCTGTTCCTCTGTATCTGTATCTGTATATGGCTTGTGATTAGGGTGGTTATGATGCTGGCTACCTGTATCATTGTCAATTCGCAAGTGATGGCCAGGAACCTGACACCACGCCATTCTCGGCGTCAGCAGTGCCACAGCTAGAGGAGAAGAAAGACACAGCGCTCACTACTGGTTACTTCAGGTAAAAACTTCTGCCGCCCAGTGTGTGTGTGGGGGGGGGGGGTAGTCACGGTATTCGTAGTGAAGTGATGGGAGAGTATGTGGCTCAACATGTACACCGCATCCTCGAAAGCAATGCACTGAGGTATAATATGGCTCGCTATCCTCGTAATTTGACGGCCATTGCCCTTTCAGGATTGCAGACAAGCATGGGGCTCTTATGCATCTGGCACCCCTTCAAATCCTCCTTTCTCAGAAGTAGTCTTTATCACTTATAGGTAATATTATTGCGCCGTGTCCCTCGGGAATGTGCTTACCTGTACATGCATGTTTGAAAGGAGAGGGGGAGAGAAAGAAAGAGAGAGAGAGAGAGAGAGAGAGAGAGAATCAGAGATTCTAACAGAGGTGGCTGCACTGGCTACATGCGTTTTCGTGTGCTACAGTGGACGGTACTTCTTTGCTGGCACTGGCGATGGAAACATCCGGGTCTACGAGACGTCCGTCGGAACCGGTGACAAGCTCCAGCTTTGCTTCGACAGCACATGGAGCCTGGCAATGCATGATGTGGCTGCCACCGTGCACCAATTCAGCATCAGTTTTGATGGGGACTATCTGCTGTCAACCGGTTCAGACAGCAATTTCTTTGTTTATCGTTTCGGCGGAGACAAGAGCCGGCTGGAGGAGAGAATCGCTAGGGCTGCCATGCTAGAGGCAGCTCGCGAGCAAGCAGCCAAGGTGAGTTATGCCCCAATAAGCAACGTACTTTTTGTGAACTCTCTTCACTTTTCCTAATAAAGACCTCTGTAGATATCACGGGTGATAGAAAATTGTATGGAGCTTCCAGTGTTAGATGTTCCAGAAGACAATAACCGGGTAACTCTGCAGGTACTGACTGCTCTTCAGAGCATGCATTGGACATACTTGAGCATGCATAGAATTGTGGGTTAAGGCGGCGAGGTGTAGAGTAAGTATGTACGTGATGGGATGTACACTCAAAAGGGTCAATGCCGTTTGGTGATTGCTAAGTACATGAAACTTCAAACTGCAGCCAGACAGCTACTCATCTCCTGTGTGTGTGTGTGTGTGTGTGTGTGTGTGTGTGTGTGTGTGTGTGTGTGTGTGTGTGTGTGTATGTGTGTGTTTGACATTCTGCACTCTGGTGCATTGAGCACTCCATTCGACAAAGCTCAGGGCCTCCTGGCATTGCTAATTGTTACACTTGTACCAACCTTGTGTCACTTCTCTCAGGCTGCACTTGGTGCTTTGGAGGATGACATCTCGAGTGTCCGAGACATTGAAGATCCAACCGCTTACAGGTAGGTAGACCAGCATCACATGAAAGCCGGCATGGTGCAGACATTTCCCGGGCTCCCTACGCGCATGATGTAGATACTAGTAGTCGTGGGCACACTCATCGTGTTAGCACATGACCAATGGTTGCATTGGTGGCCAATATCCAGTCAACCAGTGCATGGAGTACCTATGACAAGTGTTGGTCATGGTACATGCTTTATGCATGCCCCACGCTACTGTCAGTCAAACTGGCTCACTGACGGGCCCACTAGAGTGCTGGAATGCATTTTAAAGGGTGATTTGATGGAGCCAATTAATGCCGCGATGCAGTTCATCAGTATGTTAGGACACTGTCATGCCTGGTCTGGTTCTCCATCCCTTGAAATCACCCATCCATGCTCTGTGCTCTGTGTGTGTGTGTGTGACACACAAATACTGCAGTATTGAAGAAGCCAAACAGAAAGCAGAGCATGACAGGCGAGTGCGCCTGGCCGAGAAGAAGAAGCTGGAAACTCGCCGTGGCGTTGAGCTGCTGCGGCGAGAGTTCCGCCAGCTGTACAGCCGCAACGAAGCCCTGCCATCTCACATGGCTATCAGCAAGCTGGACTTTCAGATGGACCCGCTCATACAGAAAGAAGTGGAACGCACTGTTGAACAAAAGGTATGCTGTTAGCAGAGGCGTTTCAGTGTGCAGTATTGCTATGGAAAGTCAGCCCCCCCCCCCCTTTGTTGACTTGCTCACTGGTAGCTGGTTTGGCAGGTACGCAGTATGTATCCCGAATGACATATCCCATGAGCATTGACACTTGCAGTGCACTTGTATACACAATGCTCCTTTGTTGATCATGACAGCAGCTCCAAGCTAGTGTAGAACTGCGGCATTTGATCCTAGCCGAGTGAAGCCGTCTCCCTAGCAACATGATAGTGCTGTGTAAGCGTGTGACATAACCATTTGACGTGTTAGTCCGATCAAGCTGCATGCATCTACAAGAAGAGGAATGTGTGGCAACACCCAGTACATTTCTTGGGTATCGAGCATTGTGTGATCTGTGGAAGTCCATGTATTGAGCATTGGTCAAGCAGTGGAACTGAGGTGCCTGCTGATTAGATGTTCTTATAACGGACGGTGCACTGCACTGCACAGCTCCTCCAATCTCACCGGCTTGATTGTAGAAGGTATGCGGAGACCGGAACCAAGGTAGTCGTTCTGTGCTCTGCAATTCTTGTTTCTGCTCTACACCTTCGCAGATCGAGCAAATACATGACGAGTTCGCTTGGGAGACGGAGAAAACGGAGAAGCAGCTTCAAAAGCTTCGCGACAAGTCAGTCACAACAGACATGAACATTCCTTGATTGTTTGTCCCTGCATGTTCCTTTCTTTTTACAGTTGTCAGTATAATTATCCTGTGGCAAGTATAGTCTCAATGCCATTGAGGGCATGGGTAGCACATGGTGCGTAATGAGGGCATATGCGGAATGCACACGTTCTCAGTGAGGTGAACATCACATGACACACGGTGTACCTGTATGCATGCACACTGTAAGAGTGTATGATCTTCTCGGTCTCTTGTGCGCCAGTTGTCTTGGTTACTTCCTTGGTGTACGGTGCTGCTCAATGAAATGCAGTCGCAGCGTCACTGACGTCTGCGCCTTGCATCATGTTGCAGCCCAGTGTTTGCAGGTCTATGGCTGCGCAACGCCCGGCGCGTACTTGAGTGACGCGACTGGATTTCATTGAGCAGTACCGTACGTGTAAACTGCGCACACATCACACAACACACATCACACACCACACAACACACATCACACAACACACATCACACACCACACATCACACAACACACATCACACAACACACAACACACCTCACACCTGCTCCTGTGCTCCTGTGAATTTCAGGTTTAAGACAAACGTGGAAACAGAGCACATGCTTCTCCGCACGTTTGACAAGAAAACCGAGGTATGCTCAGCGAGTGAAAATGGGGTGGTTGAATGTGTGGTGTGCTGCAGTACAGTAGTGATAAGGTAGTTGTGAAGTCGGGTGATTGTGCTGTAAGAAAGAAAATTAAATAAACTTTCCGGGACGGCGCATCTGGATTGAGGATAGGCCTGTGTTGTTTTCATTTTGGTTTCCTCTAAGATCGGAATCAATATACACTCTCCAATCTCCATACCTCCCATCATCTTTCTATATAGGCATCCATTCTTTGCATGCCAGATTGCCCGCTAATACAAATTTCCAGTGAGTTTCGTTCGGCGATGTATCCAAGTATCATCTTTGTATGCCGCTCATCCTAATTGCCTATGTGCTCAGGTGTCCACTTATCGTCTTGTACGACCTCTGGACGAGATCATAGCACTGGCTGAATCAACCAGTGCCACTATCACAACAGCCGAGCCGGTAAAGTAGCGACCTGAGTGGTCACAAACCTTCACCTTTTCTCCCAGGTGTTGAGAACACATTTTGAAAGTTACTGGAATAAATTTTAGCGACCTGAACCGGCCTTTTAGGCTGCAGCTGGCCTCTCATACCTTAGCATGCACGTCCACACACTGGCCATGCACTTCTGATGGCATTTCACTCACTCTTTGAACTATTATCTTCCCCCTCCCCCCCCCCTCCATTGCACCGGCAGATGTGTACTCCCCTACACCCCCTCTGCTCCGCATGCCCCCCCCCCCCCGCATATCTCTCTTTATCAAGGTTCTTACAGTTGTCGCTCTCTGGCTATTTGTCTATGCCTCTTGGCGTATGTGGGTGTGTGCCTCTCTATCTCTCTCTCCCCCCCTCTCTCTCTCTCTCTCTCTCTCTCTCTCTCTCTCTCTCTCTCTCTCTCTCTCTCTCTCTCTCTCTCTCTCTAACATTCTCTCTCTGTCTCTCTTCCTCTCATTGTGCTTGAACACACAGGAGACACCAAGGGGAGGTAAAGCAGCAGGACTGGAAAGATCAACCACCTCAAAGCAACTCCCCGGCGCCGGTGCCAAGGGTGGTGGCACCGCAGCAATGGCCCGGCAGGCCAGCATCGCCAGAAAGATGTCTGAAGCGGTTGGAAAGGACGGTTCAGCTGCTAGGCCCGACCTGGGTGCCAGGCGGGTAGGCAGGGGCTCTGTGTCAGAGCAGGATGAAGCCGCTTCGTCTGTGAGTGGTTCTGGCACCAAGATGGGATCATCTAGTTCAATTAGTCTTGACAAGGCACTGCAGGAGGCTGAGCAGAGGAAGGCTGAAAGACTGGCCAGGCAGCAAAAGGTAAACATACAAATACTGATACATTTTCCGGCTTCATATGTAGCACATATCAACAATCATTCCACCAATGCATGTCGCATTCTCAGCCACACATATACATGTGTGTTCATGGCCTGGCATAGTGATCTTATCTTCTACGGGAAACAAAGCCCTTTCACATGATGTTTACGTAGGCTTGAATACACACATTTCCACACACACTGGAGAACAATGCGCATTCGTGAAGTCAGCCTATGTGCCGGATAGGGTTGCCGATACTTTTAAAATAACACTCATATATGCATGCGAACAGCAGCACCACAAAAGGGAGGCTGTTGGACAGTGGGGGAGGATCGTCGATCCCTGTTTTCCAGGCTAAATGGTATACCGTATTGAGAAGCTCAGGGGACCTGTTGTATTTATTAGGATTAGTAGCACTCTTCTGCCTCCTAAGACTGAGTAGGCTGCAGAAACTGCGGAAAGGATGAACCTGGCGAGAGAGGTCGACTTCTCCCTGAGGGTGTTCATATTTTGTCAGTGTGAGTGAGTACAGGGACGAGATGGGGATGATACACTGATTAGGGTAGAGCTGGGACATAGGGTGCAGCGCAAGCATCCTAGAGTGAACATATCCTCCCATGCCGCAGATAAAACATAATTATAACGCAAATTGTCTCAGTTGAACAAGCAACACAACCTAACACATGCCACACAGTGGTAGCCAAGGCCCTGACAATACTACCAGCCAGAACTGTGTAAATTATTCCCTTTCTGACCTCTCCTCTCCTGTTTCTTACTATCAACTGCCTTCAGTGGGCGGCTTTGAATGCATCAAAACCAGATGAGCACTACCAGGACCCCGATGATGTCCGAATGATCAATGACGCCAAGGCAAACATGGGCGACTTCAAACTGAAGACGGCAAGTGATTATGTGGTATCGGAAGAGCAGCGTGTCAATGCACACAAGAAACAGCAGCAGCTGGCTCAGACCGAACTGCTCATCTACCAGTACAAGAAGGAGTTCAACCAAATGCTGCTCGAGCTGCGCAGCGTCAAGCAGAAGCTGATCGACAAAGTATGTTGAGCTCAGTGCTGGTGTGACTGCTCTGTGTGTGTGTTTTGTGCATGTGTGTGTGTGCACGTGTGTTTGCGTGCGTGCATGCATGTGTGTTTGTGTGCGAATATGCTGCAATGGGCACACACACACCTATACCGTCTGGTAGCGGGCCGTGCTTTCAAGTATGTGTGTGAAGGCAGTAGCTTTCGATCCTTGTTTCCATGTGAAGCTACGTTGGGTGTACCATCTACTCCTCTTTATGAGGGTACAGTGAGACCTCTGCCCTAACTGGACGCCCTTGGTGCAGCGGAAAAACTGTCCGGATATTCCTGCAGGACACCGCTTGATCCAGGAATGAACGTTCAATCCACAGCGCTTTGATGCATGAGAATTTTGTCCGGACAATGCAGGATTCAGCTTAGAACAGGATCCGGCAAACACAGATTTTATTGACTAATGCCTGCCTGCACTTATGGTGTGTTTGCAAATCAGATCCTGTTACCTATCATGTTCATGTGCAGGCATCGTCCTCCACCAGTCATTTAACTGCTTTGCAAAGCCAGCTGCCCAGTGAGCTTCGAGTAGACTTGCCGACACCACCCAACATGGACGAAGATGAGACACCAGAGAAGTGAGTCAACGAGCTGCGGACGTGTCTCAGCCGTACTGGGTCTTTTTTGCCGTATGGGTGATTGTTCGATTCTAAAACCTCCCCTCAACTTAAAACTTAGACGAAAAATTAACTTTGTCGTGGTCCACGGCTTGGAGGAATCAACATCAAAAGCATAATTGGAAGAGCATTCCGCACTGTATGGCAAGAACAACTCAGAAAATAACTCTATTCACGGTCCAAGTCAAGATGATTATCTTTAGTCTGAACGGACCGTACTTGCATTCACCCGGGTTTGTGGACTTCTTCTTACCCATTCTTGCATGTGATGGTGGCGTCAAGCATGCAACGTGTTACATGTATCCGCATGCAATCATGCATGTGTGCATGAGCAGTGAAGGTGAACGTCTCTCCAGAACTCAGACGATGCTCGCCGTGGTTGTAATGTGACGAACTGCTGTCGTGTTCTCTTCGCCTTCTTGCCAGAAAACTTGAGGTCAGCAAGGAAGAACTTCTGGAATTCAAAGCAACTCAGGCGGCGAGAGATGCAGCGAAAAAGGCTGCTGCTGATGCCGACGGAGGTGGCTTTGGTGGCTTTGGTGGGTTCGGAGGTGGGGGTGCTGGTAGTGGTGGTGGTGATGATGAGGCAGGAGAGGCAGGCGATGGTGCGGCCAAAGACACGACTGAGGATGGCCAAGCTGCTGAAAATGAGCCGGATGAAGATAGGGATGGAGATGAAGCACACGCACAGGTAAGACACGACATCATCATGACATCATAGCATATGTAACACTGCAGCGGTGGTGTGGATCGGTCATCACTCGTGTCATTTACTGTAATATGATACTAGTATCACTGAGCTGTTTATCATCATTCTCCCAATACAGTAGAGCAGTGAATGGTAGGGAGGTTTCTTCTTGCCATTCAACAATATTCTTCCGTCACTGACAAGATCATCTGAGACGTTGAAACGCTTTTTTGTGAAGGAATTTGTTATCCTGAAGAAACATCTTGCTGTTGGGTGCGGTGCCCATGGTGTATGGTGTATGGTGCAATGGTGGCATGCAGAGTGAGACGGCTGTGAAGCTCTTATACAATGGGCCACTAAAATCCTGCCAGCCTCTTTGTTCTGGGGGGGGGGGGGGGGAATAGGACGTAATGAAAACGAACATACAGCAGCAATGCATAGTGATACAACGCAGCAGTGTTATTATTATATTTTTGTAATGCTTGTATCCAGGAAACTACAGCAACTAGTGCTTTGATAGGTAGTTCTTACGACCGCCATCTTTGCTGTTACAGGGTTCTTCTGATAGTGTCGATGGTGACGTACAGGGTCTCATGGCAGACGAGGCCGCTTCAAAGCCGGACCAAGCAGAAGCGGATGAATTTTCATCTCTGTCCCAGTTACAGCTGGAAGAGATGGAAGAGCAGAATATGAGGTGAGTAGTTACATGGCCTATGTCTACGCATTGCTGCCGCACCACAGTGATTCTCATCTGTTGTCCGAGATTGAAAATGACCGATTGCACGTGGGACTCGACTATGAATAATGTTTCTGTTCCGTACTGGCACATGTTCATCTCCACGGAGCGAAGCGACATGCTTCAATGCATAACACTGAGGCATGGTGTCAAGTCAGCGTTTCCCCTGCCTGAATTCCGATGTGCTCTGCAGGATCGTCGAGGAACGCGACGTGGCCGTGAGAGATTTGACCGACTCGTACCGGGTGTTTGATCGAGATGTTGGCACCCTGCAGCATCGCAAGCTGCACCTGGACAACTGCATCAAACAGGCTGAGCTCGGTTACATCATCACCTATGAGGAATTCCAGCTGCTGAAGGACTTTGAGACAAGAGAGCACGCACTGACGCAGAAGCTGGACACGCGTACACAAGAAAACCTGGATATGCAGGAAAAGGTGAGCAGCCACTCGGACTGGGAGGGCGAACACATTACACTACCTTCTTCTCGGTGTTTCCGTAAGACAGCTCTGATGATTCAATAGATTGCGTAATACTTTTTTCCCAGTATGTGCATACGGACTACTCCACTGTAGCTGATGTGCAATCTTGCATTGACTGCATCTCAAAATTTCGAAATTTCGATCGAAGGGTGGCAGTTTGCGCTTGTCTCTTGCTTGCTTTCCACGGTACATATAGATGTGTACCTGCTAGCAACTCCGATAGCTGCGAGATCAAGGACATGGCTTTCCTCGAAACGTAAATCCCATACTGGCACCAATTGGCTAAGGAGCATCAGAGATATTACAGTGAACTTCGCTTATAACGACATTCGGCGGGGCATCAGAAAAGTGTCCATATTCGCGAAGTGTCGTTATACCCGAAGTCTCATTACATATGTCACAGTTGGATGGGACTTTGCTCTGGACATGAAAATTATGTCGTTATTCGCGAATTGTCGTTATATCCGCAGTCGTTATTAGCGAAGTTGACTGTATATAATTGGCTAAGGAGCATCAGAGATATTATATGTTTGCAATGCATTCCAGTGCTTCTTGCGTGATCGATTTCGATACTTCGGGACAACAAGCTAGTTCTACATGTTTTTCTCTCTCTGTCCGGCCCTGGCTCTGAATCGGTCTGTCTGTTTGTATGTTTGTCCATCTGCATCTCTTTCTCCCTCTCTGTCTCTGTCTCTCCCTCTCTGTCTCTGTCTCTACCCCCCCTCCCCTCCCCTCCCCTCCCCTCCCCTCCCCTCCCCTCCCCTCCCCTCCCCTCCCCTCCACCCCTGAACACTACAATTGGGAAACTGCAGGTATCAGATGTGGAGATGCGCTATCTGGAGAAGAAAGATCGTGTTGAAGACCTCCTAGACGACGAGAAGCAGTTCTTGGAGCAGTTCCAGGACCTGGTGCCCGATAGCAACAAGCACTACGAGCACATGCTGAAAGTCTTCAAGAAGAAGCTGAAGCGTGATCAGGAAAAGAAGATCAAGGGTAAGCAGGAGTGCTGCTGAGACTGTTCATCTGTGCATTACGCATCCGGAACAACTTCATGACCAGTGAATGCTGTCAGAATTATGGCAGTCTCATGTCCCCGCATCAACATCAGAAGTCGAGTCGGGCAAGAATGCATTGTACCGTTGTGTGGCAGGTGTGCTGCATGGCTGAGTCCGGTTCGTGCTGACATGACATGTGTGGGTATGTACGCATGCTTGCATACTCGTTTGTGTTTGTGTGTGTGTGGCGTGTATGCATGCCGATTGTGCAGACGGAGCAGAGGATGATGACCTGGACGAGGATGACGACGAAGACGACGAGGACACTGACGATGATGACGAACTGGACGAAGACGAGGAGGAAATTGACGACACGGTCTGCCCGCCTGGCTTTGCACAGGTATGAAAAGTACACAGTGAATGAGCCTCCATACCGTCTAATTCAGCTAGAGATTTAGCCACACTGTGGACCTGAAAAGCATCGGCACAGCTCTTGGTAGTACATGTAGAGAAATTAGCCAAGGTTGAAGAGTTGCTGTATCACACCAATAGGTTACCGTAACCTCACGCATGCACGTCTACAGGAGCATGGTACATGGTAATTGAAATTGTGCTGCTCTGACCCGTTCTCCATACGGGTCCCCTGAGTGTAGCTGATGTCAGTGTGCAGGGCATATTGCAGATCATGTAGAGGGGACGGTTTCAAATAGGACACAGGTTGCAAACCGGAACGGACTCAATATTCACTTTCTCTCTTGATATTTTGATTAGAAAACATAATTATGTCACAGTGAGACTACGATGTGTTATACTCCGAGCCAAAATTCCATGGCTCTGCGATGACCAGAAGCGCCATATCAAGCAGGTGAGTTTGTGACGTGTTGCTTCGCACTGCGACTTGAGTTTTACGACTTTCGAAAAATCAACTTCTTGTCGCAGGTAAACAGCAGCTCGCCTCTCGCCAATAAAGCACCGCATACCAATCAAAACTAATGGAAGCACACACAAGGCTTATTGTTACTCTGTACTGACCGTCGTGGAGCGATAGCAATTACCTAATTTCAGAGCCAGAGTGAATTTGACGTGCACTCTAAAACATGTCCGGTTTGGAGCCACCTCTGATTTGAACTTTTTTGAAGCGAAAAATTGGGCAACTTGGAGGCAATGGGTCAACACAAAGGAGTGACTCAGTTCGATTGACCCTTGCCCCAGAGCAAACTTCAACATGCCAGTTTCCTTCCACAAACATATTTCGAGTGAAAAATCAACGCTGATGATCGGTTTGGGTCTATACAAATTTGGCTGTCAAAACGTCCCGGTATCGAGCCGCCCCCTCTACAGTGCCAGTGTTTGTCACGTCACCTTATCCAGGTGATGCGATCCCAGTTTTTTTCTCTCGGTCGTCAGTGCTTGTACTTGTATGCGAGCAACTTGCACCGTAGGCTAACTGTGCAAACCGTCAGTCAGTTTGAGATGCTTACTCCTTGCACTCTGTGCTGTATGTACCTTGACCTCGAAATCCGGTGTGGCATGGTGGGCTTTTTCCATCATTCATAACATATAACATGTCCTTGTATTCGGAGGTGGTCGTATCGTTTGAAAACAGGAATTCGGTTTTGCGTGCGAAAAGATTGCTGTAGTAGTGCGTATGACCCATATCCTATCATTGCTATCATTGGAAACACAGAGAGGTTGCAGGCTGTCAAATAGAGTGCTCAACACCGAAAGGCAGAGCTACACGTAGTTAAAACATCAGTATCCAGAGTTACTCATTACTATTTTATGATGATCGCTTAGTGCGTGAAACTCGGGATTAAAACACTTTTTCATCCTCTTATTGTTTGTCCTATCATTGCTATCATTGCCGAGTATCATTGCTATCATTGCTATCAGAACCCTTGGCAAGGAATTGTGAGCAACATACCATGATTGTGATGATGCACATGCTGTGGCGTTCTTTCCACCCGGCCCAGGAAACATTTGAGGCCATCTACAGCCTTCGTCTGGATCGTGCTGCCGTAGAAGAGGCCATCGTGGAGGAGAAGAAGCAATCCGAGGTGCTGCGTAAGGAGCTGGAAACACTCAAGAAGAAGGCAAAGATCACAGAAGGCCAAGTCAAAACGTCCAAAGCAGATATCGACGCCTTTCAGGTTAGTCTTGTGTTCACTTTTTGATGCAATCTTCTTAGCAGGGTTCTAGCCAGGTAAAAATAGTAGGGGCGCGGGTGGGGGGGCAGGGGGGGGCAGGGTGGGTGGGGCAGGGGGGGGGGGGCAGGGGGGGGGGGGGCAGGGGGGGTGGGGGGGGGCAGGGGGGGGGGCAGGGGGGGGGCAGGGGAAACAGTTACCCTGTAACCATTCTTTTCCATTTTCCGAAATTGTCTTGCCACCTATAATGCAACGTACCCCGACTCTTCTCCCCAGACATGTGTGCCTTTGTGAACCCTCCTCTGTTAGTTATTATCGACTGCATTTTCTTTGAGAGGCCTGAAAAAAACACAAAAATGGACAAATGAGTATGGGGAGCCACTTTTTCACCGGGGCGGGGGGGGGGGGGACGCTGCCCCCCCCCACCTGTGGCTATAATCCTGCTTAGCAATATGCTTTGAAACAGCCCATACCGTATTTTCCCTGTTATAGGTGCACGTCGTCATTGCATCTCCATTCTCCGATAACCTCTTTCCTGCGCATATTCACTGACATTTTACCAACTGTATTTACATACCCTGTGCCTGTGGTGTGTTCTGTGATTGCTCAGAGAGAGAAGCAGGCCAAGATTAATGAGCTGAACACAGTGGTTGTGCTGGACATGGATCAGATCAAGTATGGAATCTATCGCACTACAAGCGGTGCGTTTACCATCCAGTCGGACCTGAGCGGGGCGGTCGTATTCCCGAAGGAAGGACTGCCGCGGCTCAAGTCCCAGATTGAGGAGCTGCAGCGAGAGCGTGTAAACCTGCGTAATCAGCAAAAGTGAGTGGCCGTGTACCTACTGTACATACTGCACATGCATGCTGCGCCGCATTGCTCTCCAATGCCCTGATCGGGAGGATAGCGAGTAACTCATCTTCAATGCTCATTACAGTAAAACCTGTAATGGTGACCACTCGGATATGGCGACCACTCGACCATTGCGACCACTTTTCCTTGTCACGGACGCATTTACCTTCAAAACACCTCGGATAAGGCGACCACTCGCTCAACGCGACCGACGACCACCCACCCGCGACCGCGTTGCACAGTGCTAGTACGCATTGCCTGGTGCACCAGGCATGGTAGATCTACACATCAGTGCAGGAAGTGTAGATGTACATGGTGCATGCACGACATTTGACAGGCCTGAGTACCCCAGGCACATGAGTCGTGCTAGAGTAGCATAGGTGTGTGCACTGTGATGCACTGATCAAAATGATGTATCACATGTGGATATGGTCACATGCCCCACTGAACCTGGATAAGAAGACCACCTGGCCACGGCAACCACTTTTTCTCGTCCCTTGAGGGGTCGCCTTAGACAGGTTTCACTGTACATGATTATGGGATTTTTTATTCTCTATCGTGGTGGCTGTTTTTTTGATTTTCAGGTGGAACGATTGTGTACATGAAAAACTTAGCAACAAGATCGACGTGTGCCAGCCAGAATTAGTTATTTCAGTTTTCCCATATTAGAAAGCACTCAGCGAGCAAACTTAGACTGTATCGTGAATATCTATGGGTATCTGGCTGTGTCCCATGATTTTGTCTGCTTGGGTTTGTGCACCATGTAGGGAGAATCGTGTGTATCAGAAGAAGCTAGCACGTGAGAAGACTGCCATGCTGGAAAGAGTAAGTATTTTAAACATCCAATGCGTACTGTTCTGTAGTGGTACGACTGTCATTTCGTTTTTCAGAGGCTTACGAAATAAAATTCCGAAATTTCTTTCCAGCAAACAGCTTCACTAACAGATATTTCTCCCTATGACATTGTAGTAGCTGGCTCATCTATCTAGGTATAATCACTCTAGCTCTACGAATATTTACTCTTATCCGTGAAAAATATACTTTCTACCATCTCTGATCGAATAATGGAATTCCTACTGAGTGTACAAACACCCTTCACGGTTTTTTTTCAATTTCCAACATGAGAAAAAACGTGCGGTGAATTGCTTTTTTCATCGTGGGCTGCCCCTCTGTATCGTTGAAATTTCACGTTGCATTTTGGCCATGAGGAGCGCCATTTTGGCCGTGAGATCTCACGTTCGAAATTGAGAAAAAAACGTGAAGGATTAACTCTCTACTGTCTTGTTCTCATCTACACACTTACCATTGTGCAGCTCGACAGCCTGGAAAGCCAACTGGACCGTTTGATGGTGCTAAAATTCGGCCGAGTGGTGGACCTGGACAAGTTGGAAACAGCCATGGTCAGCAAGAACGTCGAGGAACTAAAGGAGAAGCTGGACATAGTGCGCAAGAAGAACCACTCTGAAGTTCTCACCCTACAGGTATGGACTCAAGTTTACTCTCTATTTAAAATAGACAAGAGGCAAAACCAGTCCCATCCCTTCACAACAGTTCTAATGTACCGAGACTTCCACTATCCGTAGCACAGCATCACCGTGTGATTTCAATAATGCAGCTCAGTGGCCTGTACAGGACTGAGCATCTGCTTTCCTACACCAGGTCCAGTGCATGTATATGCTACAGTGGCGTGTCGAGGATTTGGCTGAGGGATGGGGGGGGGGGGGTTGCGGCCGGGATGGGGTGGGGGTAGATGACATCATGCTACTGTCCCAGGTCAGCCACTTTGAAAACCACCGTGTCTCTGTAGCCGTGCATGCTTACTGGTACTCTGTAGTGTGTGTACAATCAACACTGTTGTACTCTGTAGTGTGTACATGTACAATCAACACCAGCTCCAGCACCGTACAGTGCAACCGCTTTTGGACGATAGTTTCAGGCCGCGCGTGCGCGCCCCCAGCCCTGCCTTTTATTTTTGAAACCTAGGTCGAAACTTTTGAGGGGGGGAGCGCGCGCCCCCCGCGCACCCCCCCCCCCCCCCAAACCCGCCACTGTGCTATTAATGCAGGTGACCCACAAAAAAGCACCATTGGCACATCAGGAAAGTGCCTAAAGTAATTTCTACGAGGTGCATCGTACCAGAACGTGTTGCAAGCAACACTCACGAAAAAGCAAATGACAGGTTTTGTTTTCTGTTTGGTAAAACTCAGTAGGCAGTTTGGCTCAGTAGGCAGTTTGGGCTCAGTAGGCAGTTTGGCTCAGTAGGCAGTTTGGCTCAGTAGGCAGTCTGGCTCAGTAGGCAGTCTGGCTCAGTAGGCAGTTTGGCTCAGTAGGCAGTTTGGCTCAGTAGGCAGTTTGGCTCAGTAGGCAGTTTGGCTCAGTAGGCAGTTTGGCTCAGTAGGCAGTTTGGCTCAGTAGGCAGTTTGGCTCAGTAGGCAGTTTGGGCTCCTTCAGTGCCACACTCGGCGTATCCCACTGAATGCACTGATAATCAATCTGACCTCCCTGCCCCATACACAATGCTGCCGTTACCCATGTTGATTCTGCTGCTGCTTCTGCTGTTTCTCCTAATTCTGCTTTCACTGGTATACACACAAACCCACACAGAATGCTATAAGCCAGGCAGAGGATGAGCTGACACTGGTCATTCGTGAGAACACGCGTAAGATTGGCTACATTCGACAGCTGTGCGCCAAGGAGAGGGAGCTTGGCAAGAAACTGGAAGAGCGATGTGCTCGGGACGCTATGGTGAGTGGATCAGGAACTTTCTCTCAGTCTTCTCCTCACCGCTTATCTTTGGTTTGGGATGGGTCACGTCAAGAGTTCGTAACCCCCAAGAGTGTGCAACTCCAGCTATGGGGTTTGCGACGGCAGAACGTCACATCACGTGCCGCACCCGTACACATTATTTGCACCCTGTGCATGATATAATAATATAGATGCAGGGTTGTACGCAACTCTCTTGTGGTCACTTTGCACTGCTGTGGTTTGCCAGCGTAACCCGGCTTTTTGAACCATGTCCCGTGATGTGAAGTTCCGGTGCCATCGCAGCACTGTATAGAGGCTGTGCAGGCAGTTGCACACACTTGGGGGTTCTGTACTCTCGCCGGGTCACTTCAACAGATTACTAGTGTACTCCTGTAGATACACACAGTAATATATTAAGCCTTTACATTGTAGATCCAAAAAGGAGGCTTCTGTCATTTTTGAACATTTTGAGTTTTCTATACCATGACATTGCTCTACCCCAGCAGATGTCTCTGTAAAAAACCTAGGTCCAAAGTTTTCATCTTTCACAGAGTTATTGGTTTTTCAATAAGTGAATTATACATCGCTTTATGCGGAAAACTCAACTTTCAAATGCATTTTTTTTCTCAGTACTGCGCGAAACGACATACGCCCCCTTTTCGGATCTAGAGGCTCGTATGGTAATGTAACAAGTGTACTCATGCTTGCAATTGGGGACTGTTTAGCCAGACTGGGAGTTAACAGTAAGAATAGGCAGTCGGTTACAGTGTCTGTTCTAGGATTTCAAACCAACCGGGTACACGTGTACCTGGCACAACCATTGCAGCCGGAGCCAGTCAGAGCCGGGTCAGAGCCGGGTCAGAGCCGGGTCAGAGCCGGGTCAGAGCCGGGTCAGAGCCGGGTCAGAGCCGGGTCAGAGCCGGGTCCGTTCAAGTGCGGCTAGCGCATGTGCTTCAGCGAGTTGTAAATATTCTAGGGCTCCCTGATGTATATTGTATTCACGACCGGGTCACAGGTGACCCGGTGTTCTTTTTCTAAACGGTGCCAAGTCCCCCCCCCCCCCCCTCCCCCACCCAACCGGGTTGCTGACCCAGCTCTGGAGCAGACACTGAGTTAGTGCAGGCGGGTAGCCCGCATGGGGCCCGGGGGCCCGGGGTGCACCCCCCTAAAAATTTCGACCTGGATTCAGCATGCACATAAATAGTTTTTAAAATGACCATGATTGACATACACCTGCCATCCTACGCATGTGCGGCCGTGCACCCCCCCCCTCCCCCCCCCCCCACACACTTAAAGTAGGACCAGCTATGCCCCTGTAGTGTGCTGTAGAAACAAAGCAGTGTGATGTTACAGCGCTGGGAAGACAGGTTTGCGGCGAGGGTTAATTTTGGTGTGGATCTCTGACTGCAAGTCCAGTAAGTGTGGATAATGTATACTGGTGATTGGTCAGCACATGCAGTGAGAAGGCACGGCTAGCCCAATTGATTTCTGTGACTGGCGGCTCAGAGCCTACAAGTACTCTGCTCTGTGCAGCCTTGGTATGACACGGCTGCTACCCAAGGAGTAGCCGTTGAGAAAAATACATGTTCCCGCTTAGTTTTATAGGACACACTCGTTGGACTCTTTAACAATTCTGTTTCCTGTTGGTGTTTGCTGTTGTCCTGCAGGGACCAAAGTCGACGGACAGAAGTGAAGCAATGAAAGAAGAGCAACGCCTGAACGATCTGATGGGCATCCAGCGTGATGAGATCCAGGGCCTCCGCGACGAGATATCCATGTTGCAAAGGAAGGGAGCCATCGTGCACGCGCCGCATGACCAGATGCCACGGCGTCCTGTTCCGCTGAGCAAGCGCCCTCGACTGCAGCAGCCTCCGCTCTTGAGAGAGGTCTAGACTGCAGCTCATGAGAGTAACACACGCTCGTGTTCACTGCAGCACTGTGAAACATTCTCTCTCTTGAGGGAAGTCTGGACGGTCGTCAAGTGTCGTTAGCTGACTGCCGTCTTCTGTGCAGCACGTCACGATACCTAAGCGTCATCTTAGTGGAGTCCTATAAAGCGGATCATCCATGCACCAGTCGAACAATGCGGAGTCGAGAATTTTGAAAAATCCAAGCTACACCAAGTCGCTCGGAGATGCTTTCCCCCCCCCCCCTCTCTCTCTCTCTCTCTCTCTCTCTCTCTCTCACACTATCTCTCTCTCTCTCTCTCTCTCTCTCTCTCTTTCTTTCTTCCTCTGTTCCGAGAACCAGGTATGTACCTGCACTGAAATCTGGTAGGGCACAACCACTCTGCCAGCTCATCCATCTTAGTATGTTCTCCTTCATCGAAGGCACACCGAATCTCTATCAGGTGAACTACTTTGGAATAGACACTGCATCCTGAACCAAACAATGACTGTAATGGTTCCTGTGGGGACTGTGTCCATTGCATACTGATTATTGCAGCCATTATAACACAGGCCACCGAGTTGTTGAAATATGGTGCTGTATTTTCTTGATGTCCTTTTTAGCAAACCCAAACACACCCACACAGACAAGTATGCACACATATGATGCACTTGTACACACACACACACACACACACACACACACGCACACACACGCACACACACGCACACACGCGCACACACGCGCACACACACACACACACACACACACACACACACACACACACACACCCCGGGTGCACCACATCCACATGTACGTGTTTTCGATCATGACCCAGTTTTATGTATACTGCTTGCTGATCGGGGACATGGCTCCCATAAGTTATAACTACTGCTACTGGGGCGCTCATGGGCATCAATTTACCACATTGTTACGGCTTCTACTAGCACAGCTTCAGAGTCATGTTTGGTAAAGATAATGAAATTTTACTGGTTTTAGATGTGCCCGTCCCCTGTGCATTTTCACAGCTGCTTTTTTTGTATGTGGCCACGTTTTGCCAGTATTTAAAAAATGCTTTTGAAATAGATGACTTGCACAAAGATCCGAGCCGCGAGTGAGACGGGGCAAGTGCACCCTGTGCACTCAGGCTACACTGCGGGCACCTTACGTAGCTACACCGTGTAGACTAGTGTACTTGTAGTGTACTTTTTTTGTCAGCATGAATGAACGGTGCACGGCATATGGCATGTACATGTACATGATCAGTACCGTCACTGTCTTCAGCAGCTCATGAGTCATGCATGTGCACTTGTAGGGTTAGTGGAAGCAGGTATTGTACTACTCCCTGAGTGGAAGTACATGACTGGATTATTATGTGAAGAGAAGCCAGGCGTCCAAACCAACCCAAAATACTCTTGCCTTATTCTTTGGTGAAATAGTTATAAAAAATTGTCTTACTAAACAACAGTGAGCATAGAAGCAACCTCGATGCACCCAATAATATGGCATCCGGGAACAGCAAGTGTTGCACGAGGATCCCAAGAACACGTCAAGTTCCATGCTACCCGCCGCCATCAAAAGAACGAAGGATAACTGTGCTAGCCTAGTTCATATTCAATGTAACGCTAACGGTACGGGATATAGGAGCCTGTTGGGAAGGCGTGGGTGAGCTGTAAAATCTTGTACGGTTCGCACAGCACAACATACATGCAGCAGTTATTGCGACGGTTAATGTCGATGGACGAGAGTCATAAAGCACAGTCCATGGGGGTTGACGTTTCTGGGCTTCCTTTCCGAAAGGAAAGTTTTATTTCTTCTCAAAAAAGCAGAATCATGCTGATTATACCAGTCTGTTATGAAGACAAGGAAGCAGCCATGGACATTGTGCCATACTAAAGGAACGACAGGTAAAAGATAAAGCACTTCATCTGAAAACTCAAGGACTATCCATAAATACAGCAAATGATTATCCTAGCCTGGTAATGTCCAACTCCGTCATGTGAGCCATTCGGTGAGTTATCATGGGAAGCATAATGTTCGAAATGCTGAAATTTGAACAGTTGCAGTTGTGTTCGTCGCCACACAATGCCATCGCCAGTTCACATTTGAAATGTAGCCATTTTTACGCTTGTGTCCCTGTACACGGCATGGAAGGCTGAGCAGATTCAACTCTTCCATCGCTTCCTGATCTGTACAGTAGTGCGGTTGCGTTCCCGTTCTTGACACATCGGTCTCCGCTAACCAGCATCATGAGCACTCCAATGGTTCCCGCCGCTCCTTCCGTATCGTCCCAGCGCGCCCCGTCAAAATGTGAATTACTGTAGGCAACGGAGCCAGTGTATGATGAAGGCGAATGCACTGTTTGATGATGCTCCAACAAATCCTTTCTGAGACTGAGACCCAGCCGGAGCCGCATCGTCGTCATTACCAGCTAATCATGGGGAGGTATAATGTGACTTTCCACCACTCCCTGATTCAATCATAGTTTGCGAGCTTGCGCCAAACTGCTTTCTCACTAGAGCCAGGCATTGGATACATATGGCTTCAGTAAGGTTAACAATGCTATGTCTCTGGCCTAAGTCTAAGTCTAGATACAGCTGCTCAGAGTCAGGGCTGATGAAGTGTTCATATCGGAACAAGTGAGACTTCAACAGTAGCTAGTACACATCAGGCCTGAGGACTTCGCAGCGTTTCTCCAGCACACTTGTTCTCTCCTTCAACTCAGATACTACTTGAAGTACTACTAAAGGCCATCTGGCTCTCACACTCAGTCCTTCCACCCCTCATTTTCGTGGTTCGGGCTTCCACTCTTGACTCGGCAGGTGAGTCCTGGCCTCTCCGCAGTCTGTCCTCAGAGGAGAGGGTCGCTCTGGAGCTAGTGCAGCCGAATCGAAGGGAATCGAGTTCTTTCTCAGACGTCCACAAACTTTCGTTGTGCTTGATTTCGCTTCCACTGCGGGAAAGTTGTCACACTTCAGGACCACGACGTGCTTGTTGCAGCCTACACCAATGATACTAAAATAATATTCCCTCATTTTTTCTGCCTCCCGGCCGGCCGGCTCGGAAAGGAACGTATGGAATGGGAGCCTCAGTTCCATCTCTCGTCTGCTACACGGCTGTTCACGTGCAGGCACTTATCAATATGGCGTCGTTCGGTGCGATTTATGTAACATTGTGCGAATAGTACAAATACGCGATGAGTTTGCGTTTTTGCAAGAAACTCATGTCGATCCTCGCGTGGTTCCACGATTTGGGACGCGAAACCAAGAGAAAAGTTTTGAAAGCGCTCGAGCGAGATACTCGACTTTTCGGCAATTTGAGAGAGAAAGAGGGTGGAAAGGCGTCCTGGCCTGCCCAGTTAGCTGTCTTTCCGCTTCAAACTTGCTCGAAGTACTCCTGGCAGTCTGGAGATTGATCTCGCCAGTGATTGTCAGCCTCTGCTTGGCGTGCTCGCGTGTACAACATTCAAGTTAGACATTTCGTAATCGTTCAACGCACAATAGGGTAGATATCACAATTTCAAGCTCACTTGGCCGGCTGCTGTCTTCTTCTACAATATCCCACATGCCGACTAAGCAATTTACAGCAGGAAGCAGCATTCTACACTCAACAGCAACTAAAGGGCCACACCATTTTGTCTTCCAAATCAAGAGAAAACAGGCTCCTGACTCGTCGCGCGTATTTAGAAGTTCACGCGCGTATTCTAATGACACTTGGGGAAGACAACCAGAGGATAGTCCTCTACCAGGGAAAAAATCGATCTAAGCTGGGAAAAAATCGGGAAGGGCTTCTCGGAGCCGAGTTTGTCAGCGACGACACAAGGAGTATTCCAGAACGAAGCCAAAGTCGCACGACACAGAACAAATGTTTCTTGAAGGAAAGGCAGTCATGTGAGGTACGAGCGGAAAGCTTGAAACAAGACGCAGATGATCGGCGTGTTCCCCGGGCTGTCCGGGCTGACTAGTCTCCAAAATCCAGGGGAAACCATGGCCTACTCGTGTTCTGACGATTTGAAAATTCAAATTTTCTTGCCATTGAAGCCCAATCGAGACTTTCGGCGGCCATATTGTTAAGTGGCGTGAAATCGCACAAAAAAACAGCCGTGGCTAGTGCATTCAGGAGCGTAGCAGCGCTCTTCGGCATGACGATACAAGCCGAATCAAAACAACTCTACTCTCTAGCCAAAAAAATAGCTCAGTGTTCGTCAGGCAAAAAGCGAAACTTCGAAAGTCACGAACTCAAAAGGTGGGGAAGTCAGAGTCAGAAGTACAGTCCAGAAGGTCCACTTGCCCCGTCTCGAACCCAGACAATCTTTGTGCAAGTCATCTATAGGGCTTGAAAGTGATGACGTCAAAAACGGCCTGGGAGTAGTAAATTGACATCAGATTTCTATTTTGGATCCACTAAGGTGTGACTTTGCTATTGCCTCAGTATGTGGGTGCATAGCAACCCACTCATGTCGTATGCAGGTGCAACTTTTACTTCGCCACCAGTTGTCACCCCGCCCCCACTAGCCAAATCAGTCAATTTCACTGGCAACATCACCTTGCTGTGAGTGAGACCGCTTGAAATGTGCTTGGATCCATACAAAAACTGGATCCAGGTGGATCCAGTTTTCGAATTTTTCAAATTGTTGCTATGCCATTGCTATGGAGTGACGTAGCACTTTCAAGCCCTATTGCCGCCCTTCAAAATGATCTTCTTTGCCTTCTTGCGTTGGTCTTGGGTGCATACCATGTGCTTACTACAGCTGCATGGCTGTATTGGGAAAGCCGTATGAGGTACTTACATGCAACTGAATTCTCTACTTCGGAAGTACACACACTGACGCACGGCGCAAGATGGTATCTGACTAAGTCAGACTCCATGTCGGTTGCTCTTTCCGGCATTTACCTACATGATTGTATACCCAGTTGCCATGGTAACGTTAGCACAGCCTCTACATTTTACGTCACGAGCTGGCCGCAGGCAGTTTTCATGGTTATTGCCTAATGTCGGGCCATGTTTTCTTGGTATTTAAGAAAAAAGATAGACTAACAACGCTACAGCAATGGCACAAGTGAGTGTCTGCCGATCATGACTGTACTGGCGACACACATGCAGTAAAGTGAAGTGCGACTGTTTTGGCAGTTTCCTTGGCGTCCGGTAACGCATGGAGCACTTTTTTTAGAGTAATAATAATCGAGTTTGAAGTATGTTGTAGTTGCACTTGCAGGTATACAAAATTAATACAAAAATTAATGTACGTCCTGTAATTAACCATGACCATGCATGATGACTGTAGCACCTGCGTATGTATGATTGTACATGTGTAGTGTCTGCCAGCCTGCTCGTGTCTGAGGCACTTAAGGTGGCAGTCTGGGTTCGCGGCCCGACCGCATGAACACAGCCGTAACTTCCATAATAATTGATGAATTTTGCTCAAATCTTGACCACATACCCAGTGTATTTCACTAAGTCCAATGAAGTATAAATCAAGCTCACACATGGGAATCCGCAGACACAATAGTCAAATCTGCGATTATGCCGTACCACCAATACCTTAGACGCAATATGCAAACGCAGAAAGAAGCTGGGTAGAAACTGAGTGCTCCACAGGATTTCCTTCACATATACCTAGGTGCTAAGTGGAGCGGAATTTTGAAATCATATTCAGAACAAAGTACTCAAGCTGTCAAACAAAAATCATGCAATCGCGCAAAATTTAGGTCCTCGATCAGTAGCACTTTACTCAAAGCTACTAGACAAATATAAAAATCCATGACACTTAGCACCTTGATAAATGCTCACAGTTTCCAAAAATGTATGGTTTATGGGGTCTGTGACTTACAGGTTCTTTGCTACGCTGTCTAAGAGGTACGGGACTCAGTGGAAAATGGAGAAAAAAGTGCTCTGTGCAAGTACAGATGGAGGTATGTCTGTCCAACTAGAACTTACTAGAACTTAGTCGAAGCCACCAGCTTCATATGTCAAACCTTCTTCCTCTTGCTGCTCATCCTGGATGCCCTTCCTGACCCTCCTTCGCTTCTTTCGTGACCTCTTCCCTTCTTCTGACTTCTTTCTGGCAGCATGTGCCTGTCTCTCACGGTCTAGCAGCTTGATGAGACGTGTCGTATGGTGTCCAGTAGGGAGGCCCATCTCGTCCAGAACGCGTTTCACTGCCACACCTCCATCATTGAACCAGGCCACGGCCAGGTAGACGCACATCTGGACAGTGGGAGCGGATGCAAAGCCTGTCTTTGGACACAACTGCCACACGAGTCCATTGAACGCTTCGTTGCGATTCTGCGTAGCACCCTTCTGGCAGCGCTCGAGCAAACTCCGGTCGGACAACCGAATGTAGACCGGCTTCAGTTCCTTCCATACTGCCTCTGGCAGGATATTGTGGTGGGCGTAGACATCACCACCTGCCTGTTGCTGCTGCCATCTACACCAGCTGTTAATTCCAGGCGGACAATACTGGTGCTGAGGTTTACTGTCGCTGGATGCACGATGCATGAGGGATGCCCATATGGCCCTGGCCATGGCTTGCAAGTCTCCGCTGTTGTTCCGCACAGCCATGCCATAGTAGGCTTGCAGCTTGTCGATCATGGCATCCGTGAGGCGACCACGTCCGCCTATAGTGCGCCCATCAGCAAGCTTCTTGCCCGCAAGGTTTTTCTTCAGCTTTCTTAGGCTGGTACCGATGCGTTTTTGAACGTGGCCGACACATTCCTCCTTGACTACAGGCACCTCGGGCCCATACGGACAAGCGTCACGCACAGCCTTAAAACTCTTGGTATCTCCATCACCAATGTAGGTGGTGTACCTCAGCTTGCGGCTCTCAAAGGACCTGGCCCACAGAGTCTTGGCGGCTGCACTCTCCATGGCAGGAGCTGATACAGTGGTGTTGACTGAGCAATCGTGTTCGGCAATCTGTCGATCATAGTCATCTTTGGTTAGCTCTCCCTTCTCTTTTCTAGACGCCAAGTGCGTGCACTTGTGGCAAAACTTTGAAAGCACTTCGCAGTCCACCACTTTGCCGACATCATATGCAATTATAGTGAAGGCTCCGAAAAGCGATGCGAATCCTCGGCGCATCCAGGTACCGTCATAGGAAGCAGCGATATCGTTACCCCCATCTGCTGCGGACACTGCTTTCTCAGCTGCCTCAGTCATGCTACGCTCAGCGACGCTCTTGGACGCGGAATGCAGGCCTTTAGCATGGCTGTAAAATGTCGACCGACTCATAGGTCATATTCAGTGCACCCGCCAGCTTTACCATTGATTGACGTCCACGGCCAATCAGTCGCATTCCGAATACTGCTCGTCTGTTCACCTCCCAGACCCGATTGAACTTCTTGGACATAAATTCGCTTGCTATGTCGCCGCAGTTAACACAGGAAAGCTCCAGGCATGATGCAAGGCCTCCCCGTTGCGATTCGCTGATCGTGACTGCGCCATTACAGCCACTGCAACAAACTGCAGCTGACAAAAGCTGCTGAAGGCACTCGAGATCAATCAGGCGAAATCCATGCGCCCCTTCCTCACACTCTTCATCCAAGTCACTGTCGGAGGAACTGCTGTCGACTTCACCGCCACTTCCATCACTATCGCTGCTTGAAGACGTGGCTTCAGCTGACACTTCAAGGTCGTCATCAGACAGTGGCAAGTCAGGAATTTGTTCTGCAGGCGAAATTTTACCAGAGGGAGCCTTCGGCGCCTGAGACACTCCATAGAACGTTCTTTTCCTTTTCTTAGATCGTCCGGGCTTTCCCTTGGCTCTAGACTTCCCCATAGTAGCCAACGAAGGGGTTAGCTCCAAGAAACAATTACTCCAAAACAATTACTCCAAAAGTTTCAACAGCAGAGCGATCAGCTGAGATCATGAGAGTCGAAATTTGAATTTTTTTGAATTTGCGCATGCGCAAAAGTTATCTTGGTTGCCATGGTGACAAACATCGTGCGCGGCTGTCAGTCTGCAGCGCAGAGGAGTACAAGGAGTCGCTCCAGAAAATTTTAATGAAATCGCTCAAAGATTGACGGTAAAAATCGGAATAGTGTGCAAACCTAAATTTTGTAGAAATTTGCTGATATTTCAGTACAGTAGGTATCGGTTATAGCGTGGGTGTTTGAAAAACGACATTTGATTCTTATTGCCGATATTTCTTACACACGATAAATCACGTGTGACATAATCATATGCACGTGTGACATAATACATGTTTGGCATGTGGACACGTACAATCATGTAGGTCTACACAATCATGATACACACGGATCAAACTCGCGGTCGTGCTGGGCGACTGCGGAGCAGCAGATAGGAGAGAAGTCGGAAGAAAGAGTCCGACTGGACAGAAAAAGTGATTCTCCAATGCTCAGTGGACATAACTCTCTTTTTGTGTTGAATATTATTGTATTGAGCATGCACAGAGCACAGATGTTATTACTACAGGCGATACATTTTGCACTAATCTGGCATATTTTGCTACACAAAATCCATTCTTAGGGCCGATATATTCTACTATGCGATAATACTGCTTGTAAGAATAAATATACACATAAAATAGGTGTTATGATTATGAAAAAATGAGTGTTCATTCTTGTAGGCAGTATATTCTTGTATACGACCACACTATAACCGATACGCACTGTATTTCAAAAACAATTGTGCAGACTTTGCGCGGCTATATCTCCGGAAGGAAGCACCCGATTACGCTCAAATTTTCAGGATAAACCCTTTGGACCATACACAAGACGCTGCCAGTGAAAAAATACAGAAAATCGAAATTTTGTTTTTTGACCCTCTGAACCCAGACTGCCACCTTAAAGTCTTTGGGCTTACAACAGAAAGTGATACAGGCTGACAGCACTAGCGGGAGGAAAACAAGCTCTTGGGCTTAAACTCTTCACTTCATAATTCCACACAGCAATGAGAAAGAATGATGGGTTTATAACTTTATATAGGCCAGAGGGAGAGAGCAGCTGGGAGCGAGGGCAAAAGATTACTAGGAAGACAACTGTTGAAAGATCTACGGAAAAGCCCTTTGAATGTGTGTGAGCTAGGGCTGATCAATAACATGGATTCGGGGAAGAAAGCTGTTGGATGCCTAGAACCGGGAAGGAATCTCGCAAGGGATCAAGAGGGTCAGTGATGGGGAACGGACTATACAGGAATCAATGTAATGTATTAGTACAGCATGAATGCGATAGGTCATGCCGTACCGGTCTTGCAAGCAGGGATATCTAGTCCTAAGTGGTTGCGCGTGAGAAGCACTTATAAATAGTGCACTTATAAATAATAATTAGTTAGATAGAATGTACCTGTGAACTACAATGTAACTACTGCACTGGTAAGTGGTAGAGATGTGGCTGTGTGATTACTGACAGTCAGGGATACTACACATGTACATGCGAATTGTAATGTACTCTCTCTGTATCCATCGCAACCAAACTCATCGTCCTTGGCAGCAGGTAGCGCGGTAAGGACGCAATGCATGTCGTGAAGCATGGCACATGCACAGGTCAGTGTAAGTCAGTGAAGAGTGATGTGTACGGAGTGTAGCTGATGCCGTCCAGTGATGGATTCCACGAGCGAACAGTGTTTTGACTTCGCTGGCCTGGTGACATACTCCCATAGTGACGCTGTCACGCAACAAACAGATGTTTGGAAGCTTGGAAGAAGATTTGAATCCAGGATAAGTCCGCTACATACAGCACGCACTACAATCTTTGTACAATCATGTATGTGTCAGAAGTTGACGTTCCAGTATTACTGTGTGTTACCAGTTAGACTTAGAGCTAGAGTAGGTGGAAGGAATTTTGCAACACCTGTGTAGGATCAGCCGGAAGGTATTTCCATCAAGGTCCTGCACTGCACTGCTTGTAGTTGCTTTGGTCCTGTTCATGTTTGGCTGTGTGACGAATAAATAGGTACATGTCCGTTGAAACGCACTTGCCAACGATTAGCAGCTAGTTCGATTTCAAGTGTTAGAAAGAGCGCTGAGCTATGTTGCTGGTCCAAGTTGTTGCTAGTCTTTTACCAAGATTGGAGTATAGTGTCATCCTCTTCTAGTGTTGCTCAAGACCTTTTCCTGCCGCAGGTGAGTGTTCTTTGCACTCCGGCGTGCTGGTGCATTCCCGTAACTGATTGTGGAGTTTGTTGATGTGCGCTGGGTCACAGCGGGTGGCCGCCCCAGGCTTTGAGACATACCCGCTGCATGCATGCTCCGAAACCCGACACACCAAGTAACTTTCTGGCAGGGAACCGAAGTAATTAGTCACAGCACGGTCATTGTAGTCACTTGACCAGGACTGCAGGAGACCCTCCTAGCTAGTTGTAATTCTCATGACCAGGTGACGTTTGCTCTCCCACGGTCACTGGCACGGGCATGCACACAATAGCCCATTCCATTGTGTTGCCTGGCCCGCGGATTAGCCGTCATGGTTACACACTGTTCACAGCGCCAGTTGTAGCACCCACTGAGTCAGTGTTGCCGGTGCATTACTTACTATTTTACCACTAAGAAGCTAACAAGTACTTGAACATTAACAGCAACCACGTGTGACTTCATGAATAGCATTAAAGAGCGCAATAATGATGATAGCATCTACAAGACTTAGTGCGCACACGTACATGTACATCCAAATGGAGACTGTGTCTATAGACAAAAACAATGAAAAGCAATAGAAGAGAACAGCCACAAGAAGAAGTACTATCACACAATTCCACAACAAGGTCCATCATCCTCCCACCGCACTGAAATTGGGCACAGGGTAGTGATCGGCCCTGTGTCCAACCTGCATGGGGCCATGGCCCCGGGCCTGTGGTGGGACGGTGACATCCCACCTCATGAATATCATCCCAATTGGGCCATGGGGTGGTGTGTGAGAGGGGGGGGGGGGGTGGTGAGGGGAGAGGCTGTGTGGCCCAGAATCAAGCAAATGTGCAGTGAACGTGGCTCTGCATTTTATTCATTAGATTGAAGTGCACTTACCACCATTACTCATTTGTAGCTGGCTATAGCCAATGTTTCATGTATATGTGCTATGTAGAGGCTGTCGGATTACGTCATTATCAGAAAACATTAATCACCTTATACGAACAGTCCTGTAGTTGTAATATGGAGAGAGGCATTACATGCACTGGTTTTGCCATTCCATACTGAATATGCCACCATGATGATGTCATTCACGTACTGAGCATGCAATCACGATGATGCTATTTGCACAATCTCATTACATTCACTGTGTGTCCTACTCTAAACCATACACACATACGTGACTTGTACAATTGTACATACATCAACATATGGGTGCAAGTCATGTACTTCATACGTGTGCTTGCAATTGCTTACAACTCTTTTCCATGCAGAGCTGGCGCTTGCCATGGGAGACACATCGCCTGCTAAGCGTGGCAAGGACAATGCCCGTGCGGTGCGGATAAAGAGAAATGGTGACAGCCTGTACCCGGGCAGGTGAGTCACGGCGTTGGCCATCTCGAGATCCACGCCACGGGTATGAATGCCACACACCGGCATGTCGAGCAGCTGCATGTCTCGTTGCCGGTGCTCGGCTCGCTTGCATTGTTTTCATTTGTCTTCACACGATTGTAGTTTGGTGGAATTTGTCGTCAATTGTTGTCATAATGCACATCAAGCTGATGACACCTCTTCACACAGCCAACTGTGCGGGTAGCGTGCGTGAGAAGCTGAAATAGTTGCTATGCATCACTGGTGAATGACTGGAGGATCTGTTATGTTTGCGTGCGCATGGGAACACTCACTTGACCCCTTGTTCTGTGTTTGTTATCGCTAGTCTACCTACTGCCGCTTATATCACCTATATGCTTTGTAATTGTATTGTGCTGATTAGTTGATTCTTCTGCATGTATCCACCTGAAGACAAGGCAATGAAAGTGCTTGCGGAATTTTGAAGCATTGATTGGAAAGAGCCCAAAGCTTGGGGCATACATTAGCCTCATTACGTCTTTGTCTGCAAGAAAACTATTCATGCAGATGACGTCGTGTATGTGGTTGTCTTACTCATGCGTAACTGTTACTTTAGGCGTTTTGTGGTCAACCGACGCGTGCGCACACTGGACGCATTCCTGACCGATGTCACCACGGGAATCCGAGCACCGTTTGGTGCAGTGCGGCAGCTGTGCACGCCAGCTGGAGGAACTCGGGTAGGTCAGCGGGGAACATCCTGTCTGGAGTCCACATGCGGGACTATCTGATTTAGGAAATGATGAACTGAGCATTTAGGCGCAGTACTCGACCGGAGTCTAATGTCGGGAGTTCACCTCTGTCCAGAGCCGTGCAGTGAAGTCCACGTGTGTGTGTGTGTGTGTGTGTGTGTGTGTTTGTGGTTTTCTGTGTGTGTACATCATCTACTCATAGCACGGTAGTGGAGTTATCTGATTGCCTTTTACGGTTGTGGCACTTAGCAGTTGACATTGTTGTGGCCGTTGATGAATCACGTGCCACTGTGCGATGCAATAGTACATACACTATACATTCCCGTGGCCAGGGAATAAAGAGAATAATGACGAGTGCGCTGGGGCTGAGGAGGGGGAGGGGGGGGGGGGTAGGGGTAGTCAGCTATGGCAGTCACATTACTGAATGCAACTTCCCGGGCTGCCTATTGCCACCACCTACCCGGCCTGTTCTCATCTGTGATGTGCATGTGTGGGTAGATGTGTTTTTATCTGTTCTGCCTGGTCGGTGTTTTGTCAATGTTCCGTAGATCGATTCACTTGAGCAGCTGCAGCCCGACAAGGTCTATGTGGCGTGCGGTATGGAGCGCTTCAAACCTAAAAAGTAAGGTGGTGTTGCTACCCACTGAGCCACAGAAACTTGCAAACACATCGATACATGTGATTAACTGACCCATCAGGAGTTGAATCTATCATGCGTCGGTTGTGTTTAGTTCCGAACCTATCCTGGCTTGTGTTCAGTTTGTAGGGGCTGAGGGCATAGCGAACTGTACCTTGTGATATTGTATGTCAGAGCACATGGCATTCGCCTCCTTTACCTTCACACACTTTGCTTGCTAGTTCAAGCATATTAGATAACTGTGATATTATGTATGTGAGCGTCAGCATTTCGCTCACAACCGCATGCAGAATCATGCACAATACATGTACACACGGTCATTGGACCTTCACTACTGTATACTAATGGGCTTGGACGCCTACTGTACATTCTACTTGCACTGCTACCATTGGTAGCCAGTATTTACGTATTGTTCTTGCTTGCCTGCAGGTACGGTGAAGATCCGGACAACAAGCAAGCCAACCGTTCGTTCAACAGGTCCTTCGGCAAACCAGTCACCTTAGCTCCTCTACCGGTAAGAATCCCGACGTATGATCGGATAGGACCATGCCAGGTTAGGCTCTAGCTGCCTGATGCGTGTGCACACACACACACACACACACACACACACACACACATACACACACACACACACACACACACACACACACACGCACATACGTGACATGCTTCTAAGCCACATTCTGCCCGGTCAGTGTTTTGAATCCGAATACTTTACTGGCAACTTAAAAAATGATGGTTATACCCATGTTGGCCATAGCATACTTTGCATGTGTTGTCAGTCCACAGTGTACAGTAGAATTTGTACCGTGTATGCTAGTGCTGTTATATGCTCTGTGTCTTTGTCAATGTTTGCTGACACAGCCTGTCAAGAGGCAAGAGCGCGTTCCTGGCCGCTTGAGACAATTGAACCGGCCGAAAATAGTAACGTGAGTGAAAGCAACATGGGAAGGTTGTGCATGGACACTATGCATGTGTTTATCACCATGATTGTGTGCATGTGTGTATCACCATGATTGTGTGCATGTGTGTATCACCATGATTGTGTGCATGTGTGTATCACCATGATTGTGTGCATGTGTGTATCACCATGATTGTGTGCATATGTGTATCACCATGATTGTGTGCATATGTGTATCACCATGATTGTGTGCATGTGTGTATCACCATGATTGTGTGCATGTGTGTATCACCATGATTGGGTGCATGTGTGTATCACCATGATTGTGTGCATGTGTTTCTCTAATACTTAGTAGTGTTGTGGCTGGCTGATCGTCCCTACGTGTTAGTTATCCCAAGCCCGTTTGCACAAAGTATATGTGCGCCTCTTGGTAGTTCCACTCAGGCGTACCTCAGACCCAAAGCACAGAGAGAAGTCAGGGTGGCGGAGCCCTCAGGTCCGATATAGTAAAGGAACAAAGGAACAGTAAGAAACTACAAAGTCAAAGGCCACACCGGCTCAAGCGGACAAGTCCGCTTGAGCGGTAGCGGAACTCCTATAAACAAGAAACCTAAAGAGAATCTCCAAGAACCTAATAATACAAGACTCATACAAGACTAATCCAAAACTCAAACAAGACTAATCGATATTTGGCTAAGTCAGCGAACTTATACTAGCTGAACTCTATGCGAGCGGCTACGAAGGGAAGGATCGAGCAGGCAGCAGCGAACGAGTAGTGAGCTGTGCTAAACTCAGCAAAGAGTAATGTATCTAAGTATTGAAGCTAATGCTAATCATGAATCGGAGCAACTAAGCGGAACAGCAGAACAGCGGACCGGCAACAGAGACAATAGACGACAGTTCTATGGTAATGGATAGTCTAGGTCCGGCGACAGGAGAGGTAACCTTATCCTAATCAAAAGGAAGAGAACATTGATGAAGAGCCGCGGTAGAGGTAGGTGACAGGCTGATAGTGAATGTGTGCAGTACTATAGTGGTATTGGTAAGTAGTACTATCTACGCAGGGCCATGACATCTCCCTCGGCTACAAAGAAAAGGGTCACGTCCTCGTGACGGGAAGAAACAACACAAAAGAGCAACTTAAAAGGGCTAAAATAAAAGGAAACTAAACATCGCAGTAGTACCAAAGAGGGTGTGAGCAAGAGGGAACAGAGCTTCAGACTTCGAATCAGGAAACAAAATCGGAAAGAACCTACGGTTAGAACTAATGAACACAATGTAAAGTCTAATTTCTTTGGCAGGTGGCATCTCTAGCAGGGTCTAACCTTGGAAAAATTGTGACGCAAAACAGGCACTAGCAGCAGAACAAAACTATGAGACAACTGATGAGCTATGCCGAACAAAAACAAAACGAATGGACAGCGGATCTAATCTATTGGCACAAAATCTTGTTGTGTGCTGGGAAAAAATCTTAATCAAAGCACGATGGAGCTAGGAGCTAATTGTTCACTGCCTAAGGCACAGGACCAGGGGTAACAGTTGGGCAGTAGGCACTCGAGAGTTAGCTATGAGCAAAGGCTGAACTTAGAGAACTAACGATACGGGGCACAATTGTCCGTACATAGATAGTCTTACTTGGTGACACTCAGGTAGCAGACAGAGATCAGTGCGGACGGTACTCATGACGATGGTGGACGGCAGCACTTGAATCAAGTTGAGGAGACACTATTAGGCACATGGAAGACAGTTCTTTGACGGTAGACACTATAGAAGATGACGGCAGTACAAGATGGTAGACTGGATCAGTGCACTCAGGGTAGTAGGGAACAGACGACATCATAGCAGTACTAGTGTAAGTGCAGCACCAAACGGAATCGGCTATAGTGACAGGGTGGACGGACAACGAAGACATAGCAGAAACATTGATACTCCAGCAACTGGTGGCAATGGCTGGGTAAGACAGATACTTGGTGAGGCTCAGCAGACCCGGTGACGGAATGGAATCCTGGTGTTCATGTCATCGTACTATAGGTGAGTGATGGTATCAGCATGGTAGGGTGAAACGATGAGACGTAGTGGTAGAACAGCAGAGCCAATGACTCGAAGTCAGGTAGCAGTAGGAATGCCTCACTCACAGGTGACTGGACTGGCGTAGGGAGAAGGCAGATCTTCCACCAACTCAAGAAGCGAATTTTTTCTTCCATCTCGAAGGATGGTGGCCTAGCTCAGAAAGAACATGGCAGCAAGACAGTTGATCGACAAGAATCACTGAGAATAATCACGAAGACCGGGCGTAGTTGGGACGCAATACACAACATCCAAGAGACGGTCTCGTACCGGGAATAGTCCACACCATAATATACACAAAGTTCAGGGAACCTTCGACCAATCGGCGGGGACCAGCAACCAAACAAGGTTACTAGAAACGAGATGCACCAGACGAGCGCCAACGTCATGAGGACGGGCAGTGCAGACAGATACAGGCGAACGTTTGTGCACACAGAATGCGCATGCACAAAGTTTCTGGCGTAACGTTTACCTGATACACATGAGGGTAGGAAACGTAACGGTTTGTACCTCAGCGGAATGCAAGCCATAGACCAAGTGTGTACACACACGAACTGTGCTGAACGAGCACGACGTGATAGTCTATTAGCATGGCTCACGGCTGCACACCACGATCAATGATCTGAGCGGCAGTGGGAGAATTGACTCTCCAGCAATGGGGTTTAACGCCAAAAGCGTTAGCGGAAAGAGGACCCAAGCAGTGTTGCACGTAATGATCAGATTCACTACAGAATCCAGCGTGTGTAACAACGAGATTGACGGGTCATGGAACTATGATGGGCAGCCTGGTCAGTCAAGGCCAGGTGGCAACAGCCCAGCATAATGCAGCGTAACATTCATATGGCTAAGAGAACTTAGCAGCGGAATACCAAAAACACCATAGAAGGGCACAATTGGCGGAAAGGACGGCGCGTATCAAACTGTAACAAGCCATCAGGCACTTCAGTGAGACACAAATAGGTTTCCCTAGGCTGCAATATCAGCAGCGGCGACGTGTGCCAGATAGACAACACAAGTAGGCGTAAGAGCAGTGTCATTCGAGACATGTGCAACCACAATGATTACGTACGCTGACCAGAGTGATTTACAACCACAGTATGCAAACCGGCGGAAATGAACGACACAGGGATACGGAAGGCCCACTGGGCAGCGTAGTGTACTCTCGTACCGATAGACAACAACGGCAACAATAACAACATTAATGCAGTCACACTCCCCGCAATGATTCATACGACAAGACTCACCACTATCTTCAACCTACGTCAAAACAGAGCCTGATACCACGGTAACACGAACAAGTAACAGCCCAAAGGTGTACTTCACATAGACATAAAATGGTACTCATCAGTGACCCGGAACCCGTGATAGAATAGGTGGATAAATCAACAAAACCTCCAAAAATAATAACAAAATGATAACCAAACAATGTTACGTCAACAGCTGGTGCCTGAACTTTCTAGTACGTATTCTTCCATCTCAAGTAAATCCAAGATTCTTAACCTCCGTGAACTCAATAACTACCATTCATTACCTCTGCACCCCTTGAAAACCAGTAAAATCCGTTACTGCTTGCAAAACAAATACTTCAGACAAACCCTTCCAAAACCTTGAAAAATAAAACCAGCTAACCTCCACTGACAACCAAAAAAACAAAAACTCACAAAAGACGATGGTCTGATCGCGTGCATATATCTCCGTACTCTTACCTGGCCAGCTTCGCTCTCCGTTGATCAGTCGGACGCGAGCTCCCGAGCACCACAGCAGCCTTTCGCCGCTTGTCACGTAGCCGGCTACGCATTTTACAACACAAACCACTCCACGGTCCGATCGGACTTCAATTCCGTCGCCAGCACTCGGCAGCAATACAACGACGGGCAATCAGCGCAACCACTAACCGCGAGCCATCGGAGCTTTTCTCTCTACTCCGATCTTGGATCCAGTCACGAGACCAGGAACTTCTCCAGTGACGACCCGAACCGCACCAATCGTGCGCACAATCCTTCTCTTGCACCAGGCGGAACCACATCGCCAAAGGCGCATCAGACCAGACGAAGCGTAAACCAGACGAAACTCAATCGCCACGCGGGACAAAGGACGATTATCAGCGGAAACAGAAACGAAACATGAATAGGACGGAGGTGGCGCCAGGCGCCTGTTGCAGGGCGTATCAGTATCACGAGAGCCATCTCTCAATCACTCAATTATCAAGACAATCAATGCACCACAGGAGCTGTGGACAGCGGACAAAGGCCAACACCAGGAGATAAGCGTAAGTGGTCTGGCGGAATCAAGCGGAAGACCGACGAGGCATGACGCGCATACTCCGTCACACAGCGTAAACGAGCACAGAGCTGGAGGATGGCCATCTCCATCAGGCGGAGAGCGCGTAGAGTCAACCTCTTCCCGGAGGAAGTGCTGCAGCGGTGAATGACCCAACACGCGGGACCCGAAACTCGTCGAGTACAACGGAGCACTCACGTAACTCATGAGCGTTTTGTCAGCAGCTCCCACAGGAACTACATCGGCGGAGAAACCGGTGAACCATACCAGCTGAGCTGGTTTGAACACACAACGGAGTGAGCGCACGCTCAGAGAGTGCGGACTGTACAATCATGTACAACACGGATCGCGGAGCATCCGGCGAAGAGACGAAACTAATTTTTTTTTTTTGCGAGCGGAACACAGCTCACACTCACAGGCGCTAGGCGTAACACAGGCGAACAGATTGACCAGGGCTCCGGAGGCAGGACTGATCACAAAAGGCATAGTAGGCCAACGGAAGCAGCACAGACAGTACCACAACACGTTTGGGAGCGTATGGCTTTGCTGAAACAGCAGAGCGGCGTAACTGACGATCAACACCGAGGAACGTCTCTTTTGCTTCTCTTCAAAGAGGAAACGACTGCGAATGCAGTGGTAACCTGGCGTAAGTATTTTCTTTGTTGCCGTTCGCAACTCGGAGCGCGTGTCTTCAACGGATTTGGCGCACGACTCGTCGATCGACGAGGAATCGTCAGTAGGCACTCACAATCCAAAGAACTCGTGAGGCGGCGTAGATTACAGAGCCTGTGCGGCAGAGCCACAGCGGAGGACGGAACGATGACGGAGAGTGAAAGGGCGTACACCAAGAGTAGGGCGGAGGACCTGGGAAACTAGACCAAGAAGAATCCTGGTCACAGCACCAAGTGTCGTGGCTGGCTGATCGTCCCTACGTGTTAGTTATCCCAAGCCCGTTTGCACAAAGTATATGTGCGCCTCTTGGTAGTTCCACTCAGGCGTACCTCAGACCCAAAGCACAGAGAGAAGTCAGGGTGGCGGAGCCCTCAGGTCCGATATAGTAAAGGAACAAAGGAACAGTAAGAAACTACAAAGTCAAAGGCCACACCGGCTCAAGCGGACAAGTCCGCTTGAGCGGTAGCGGAACTCCTATAAACAAGAAACCTAAAGAGAATCTCCAAGAACCTAATAATACAAGACTCATACAAGACTAATCCAAAACTCAAACAAGACTAATCGATATTTGGCTAAGTCAGCGAACTTATACTAGCTGAACTCTATGCGAGCGGCTACGAAGGGAAGGATCGAGCAGGCAGCAGCGAACGAGTAGTGAGCTGTGCTAAACTCAGCAAAGAGTAATGTATCTAAGTATTGAAGCTAATGCTAATCATGAATCGGAGCAACTAAGCGGAACAGCAGAACAGCGGACCGGCAACAGAGACAATAGACGACAGTTCTATGGTAATGGATAGTCTAGGTCCGGCGACAGGAGAGGTAACCTTATCCTAATCAAAAGGAAGAGAACATTGATGAAGAGCCGCGGTAGAGGTAGGTGACAGGCTGATAGTGAATGTGTGCAGTACTATAGTGGTATTGGTAAGTAGTACTATCTACGCAGGGCCATGACATCAGTACAGTACTTCAGTTGCTACAATAGTGCAATAGTTCTGTGTTCCGGTGGCCGCAAGATTGGCAAGGCCATGGAACTTCAGAGTAGCAACCTACATTCCATTCACCCAAACTACAAGTAGTCCCACTGGCTCTTGAAAGCCCGGTTTTGGCCGAATTGAGGCTCAAAACCCACTTTGAACTTGAAAACCTGGGTTTGAGATCTGCTTCTCCATATCTTTTTGCCATGCGTACCTGTCCTAATTTGTAAAACCTGGCTGAATTTATAATTCCCTCCTGTCCTTGGACTTATCTGGCCTCAAATGTGGCAAGGTATACTTGCACAGGTCACTCAATGCAGGATATACTGTTGTTTTCAAGATACTTACAGATACGTGGGAGAAACCAAAAAAGTTAGGTTGCCAGTGTCGGAAGGGGGGGGGGGGGGGGGGGGAGATGAAGTTTCCAATGAATGGACTGTACATGTATGCGTGCAGTTCATTAGAGTCAAAGAAGCATGCACTAGTCTGGTACGTGTTTGACGATCATGACTCTGAGCGGATAGCGCTACTCAAACAGACTGCCCACCAGACTCTGTTTCATGCACTTGGCTATTTCTCACTTGGGCAGTGTGTTTCGCAATGGAGACATTCACTACAACGGGGCACGCTTACTGCTCGACTGGCATACGCTGACGGACTTTGAAAAGGTGAGTATTCAGGTCATGTCGAAGCTGTGAGGCGGGCGATGCCAGAGCCGATCGACGAGGAATCGTCAGTAGGCACTCACAATCCAAAGAACTCGTGAGGCGGCGTAGATTACAGAGCCTGTGCGGCAGAGCCACAGCGGAGGACGGAACGATGACGGAGAGTGAAAGGGCGTACACCAAGAGTAGGGCGGAGGACCTGGGAAACTAGACCAAGAAGAATCCTGGTCACAGCACCAAGTGTCGTGGCTGGCTGATCGTCCCTACGTGTTAGTTATCCCAAGCCCGTTTGCACAAAGTATATGTGCGCCTCTTGGTAGTTCCACTCAGGCGTACCTCAGACCCAAAGCACAGAGAGAAGTCAGGGTGGCGGAGCCCTCAGGTCCGATATAGTAAAGGAACAAAGGAACAGTAAGAAACTACAAAGTCAAAGGCCACACCGGCTCAAGCGGACAAGTCCGCTTGAGCGGTAGCGGAACTCCTATAAACAAGAAACCTAAAGAGAATCTCCAAGAACCTAATAATACAAGACTCATACAAGACTAATCCAAAACTCAAACAAGACTAATCGATATTTGGCTAAGTCAGCGAACTTATACTAGCTGAACTCTATGCGAGCGGCTACGAAGGGAAGGATCGAGCAGGCAGCAGCGAACGAGTAGTGAGCTGTGCTAAACTCAGCAAAGAGTAATGTATCTAAGTATTGAAGCTAATGCTAATCATGAATCGGAGCAACTAAGCGGAACAGCAGAACAGCGGACCGGCAACAGAGACAATAGACGACAGTTCTATGGTAATGGATAGTCTAGGTCCGGCGACAGGAGAGGTAACCTTATCCTAATCAAAAGGAAGAGAACATTGATGAAGAGCCGCGGTAGAGGTAGGTGACAGGCTGATAGTGAATGTGTGCAGTACTATAGTGGTATTGGTAAGTAGTACTATCTACGCAGGGCCATGACATCAGTACAGTACTTCAGTTGCTACAATAGTGCAATAGTTCTGTGTTCCGGTGGCCGCAAGATTGGCAAGGCCATGGAACTTCAGAGTAGCAACCTACATTCCATTCACCCAAACTACAAGTAGTCCCACTGGCTCTTGAAAGCCCGGTTTTGGCCGAATTGAGGCTCAAAACCCACTTTGAACTTGAAAACCTGGGTTTGAGATCTGCTTCTCCATATCTTTTTGCCATGCGTACCTGTCCTAATTTGTAAAACCTGGCTGAATTTATAATTCCCTCCTGTCCTTGGACTTATCTGGCCTCAAATGTGGCAAGGTATACTTGCACAGGTCACTCAATGCAGGATATACTGTTGTTTTCAAGATACTTACAGATACGTGGGAGAAACCAAAAAAGTTAGGTTGCCAGTGTCGGAAGGGGGGGGGGGGGGGGGGGGGGGAGATGAAGTTTCCAATGAATGGACTGTACATGTATGCGTGCAGTTCATTAGAGTCAAAGAAGCATGCACTAGTCTGGTACGTGTTTGACGATCATGACTCTGAGCGGATAGCGCTACTCAAACAGACTGCCCACCAGACTCTGTTTCATGCACTTGGCTATTTCTCACTTGGGCAGTGTGTTTCGCAATGGAGACATTCACTACAACGGGGCACGCTTACTGCTCGACTGGCATACGCTGACGGACTTTGAAAAGGTGAGTATTCAGGTCATGTCGAAGCTGTGAGGCGGGCGATGCCAGAGCCCTACAAGTGAGCATGGAAATTGTGAGACCTTTGTCTCATAGCCTACATTGTTAGTCTGCAGCTCCGTGAAGCCATGCTACCCATATCTCTAACTCTAGCATGAACTGTTTATGTTGGGGAAAGGCTCATTTCAAACTGCTTCGCTGGGGGTGGGTTCAACTCGGTGATATATCTAGTATGAAGACGGCCCAGCAGGAGCTGTAGCTGTTGGAAGGATGAAACTCTGAATTGAAGGGAGTCAGTTGTTGTGTTGCCGTCCATGGTTTGGTGAATGTCTCCAGCCAAAGAGCACATGTAGCGGTGGTGAACGGGTACGCGTACTATCCTCAGCAATCTATTTCAGCCCGAATAACTTACACATGGTCCCTGCTTCATGATTCCTATCTAGGTGGGTAGTGTGTGATCTCCTTCCAGTATTGCATACATCAGTACCTATGGCGTACACAAACTGATAACCAACTACAGCCGCACTTGTACTACACGAGGCGATCTAAACCAGGAATGGATGCGTTCCGGTGGAATCATACAATCATAGTGTCGTGGTTGGCTAGCACCCTTCATTTCACATTCAATTGTCACTGGCAGTCGTTTGACGGGCCAGGAAATGTTGAATAAATACAAATACAGATAGTACTAGCCTCACGTCTACTTACTGTTTTGTTTTCCAGGTTCTCTCCATCATCACAGACAAGGTATCACTGAGAACAGGAGCAGTCCGTCGGTGAGTTAGCCCTGCTCTTGCCCTACACTCTACACTAGCAGTACAGGGTACCACCGTGTGTGATCGTTAGAGCAGCAGTACAGGGTACCGAGTGATGGTTGAAACACTAAAACTCTCTACAAGGCTACTAGAACTAGCCAGGGTAAAGACAGTATTAAAAGTGCCAACACAGCACCAATGGTTGATGGCCTTGAACAACTACGGAAGAGAAGTGCCAGGTTTTCTGGAATGACGTGTTGTGCCCCCCCCCTCCCCCAGATTTGCAGACCATCACCATTAAACGAATCAACAATCCTTTGTGCTGCAGGTTATGTGACATGGATGGGCAGGACATATATGGCCTGGAGGAAATCGAGAACGGGGCATCTTACGTTGCAGTTGGGCACGGTGATCGCTTTCTCAAGCTACCCTATATTGCAAAGAAAGCATCAGATTCTCCAAGAAAGTCCAAGCCGACGAGGTTAAAACCTCTGAAGAAGGCACCAAGACCTAGGCCTGTTGCGCCGGTAAGTCACATGCACGTTTACCGGGGGATTTTTTTGCTTTTTCAATGGCTTTTCTCTTTCCTTCTCTCTTTCGGTCTCCTTCATACGCTCTGCTTCTCTCTCTCTCTCTCCCTCCCTCCCTCCCTCCCTCTCTCTCTCTCTCTCTCTCTCTCTCTCTCTCTCTCTCTTTCTCCCTCTCTCTCTCTCTCTCTCTCTCTCTCTCTCTCTCTCTCTCTCTCTCTCTCTATCTATCTCTCACTCTCTCTTTCTCTCTCTATCTCTATCTCTCCCTCTCTCTCTTTCTCTCTTTTCCCCATTCTCTGTATCTCTGTATCTCCCTCTCTTGTCCTATTTTATTGAACTAATAGAGACAGTTTCTTGTCTTTCCAGAGCCGTGAGCAGTTTCCAGGCATGAATTGAAAAGGCGAGTGGGATTATTGTAAATTGAATTGGATAAGCAGTAACTCAAATGAATACCAGAAGGTATGTGTGTGTGTTTGGCCTATGGGCCGTAGTATGGCGAATACTTCCAGTCACAATTGTGTTGCTGTGAATGCACATTTTTTTCTCTTTAACCACAGGAAGATGATCAGGGTGATGGGTTTCCTTCTCTATTCATCCAAGGGCTTCCCAACCATGAGAGGAGACGCAAAGACCGACCGCAAGCAGCAAATCTGGGAGTTCGAAAGGTACTCTACTTTCAGAAATTTTCAGTGCTCAATATTTTCGGTATGAGAGCAAAAGGCTAGGTTAGGTGAACTGAAATTTTCGGTACAGGGAAGCAGTTCCCCATTGGATTATACGTGTTAGTGTTTGTTCAGTGTATTGAAATTTTAGGTATGAAACAGATGCACCGAAAGTACCGAAAATAAAAGTACAACAAAAATTTGTGAAATTACAGTATGTTGTACCCACAGCTGCAGTCAAACAGGGGGGGGCGGGGGGGGGGGGGGTGCAGGGATGCTTTGTTGTCCTATCATCATTGTGAATCCATTGACTGTAGCTGAGTATGTTGGCATAGGAGTGTGATAATCACCTCTCTTATCACCAGTCAATGGGCGCACTGAGAAAAAGCCGCTTGCCATGCGTGCAGGATTACCAGACACACTCACCAAAATTGCTAGCTGACAATAATAATTATTAGCAAACAAAGACAAAGAAATGAAGAAAGTCCGCCGCTTGAGTATTGGTAGTTGCTAGGAAGTGGCATCAGCTCTGACATGTGCAGATCAGGAAAGAAGGGTGGCCAATGTTTTTTTTAGCCAAGTACTAGTATCTCAAAAGCGGATACGAGAAGTGAAGCATTGTTATCTGACTGCTTTATGACACCTTCTCGCATTGTTCCATGGTATTGTGACCCTGGCTGCAGAGAAGTGTGGGTGCTCCACACCACCACCACATGGAGAGCAAGAGCAAGGTACACCTGACGGACACCGGCGACGTGTCGATGGAAGTGCCTCCGCAGCACGCGCTCACGCCAGACCTCTCCGCAAGACGCAAACAGCCAGCGGCAGCGGCAGCAGTAAACGCACCCTCGCTAGGCATTTCCTCTACACCCCGCACCGGCAGCAGAACTAGACACAAGCTGCCGTTTCCCGTGCCGGGTGCGCAACCGCCTTCGCCAGTCCCCGCCAAAGTGCAGCAGAAGAGTGTATTCTATGCCGATCCCAGGCAAACGGAGAAACCGTACTCACCTAGCCTCGCTGCGGCAGAGAAATACTACACAGGTAAATCTAGTGACTGTACTGGGGTATGGCTTAGCTGGTGAAGCACATACCAAGGCCGCATAGTATTATCTTGTAGACTCAGTTATGTGCAGTACAACCTCCATATGGATGAACTCAATTCTTTTAAAAATATGTCGGCGTAGTACGGAGCTTGACTCCTTGTGTACAACGTAGATGTTCTCCCGTGGCTCAACCAACCCACGACATGGATTGCATAACGGGAGAATTTTGTAGGCATGGAACTTGTTCATTTTAGAAAACAGGACAGCGAAATAAAATGTGCCAACAACACCGTCTGCTCAGCATCTATCTAGCCTGGCCCGGGATTCTAGTGCAATGCAAGACTGCACAAGGAAGCTAGAGATTCACCGCGCGCCCAATGGGAAAGGGCCTAGATTCACCGCGCATGCTGCTTCATGAGACAATGATTTTCAGGCCCGTAGGTAAAGAACAACGCATAATATTATATGTACGTGGACGCGTACATGATTGTATTGCTTTGTCAAGTATGTAAAGTAGCAAAGCAAAAGCTGGTATGCCCGACGCCAAATCAATTCCCTAAAGTCGCAGTGCAGAGAATTCCCGCGTCAGTGTGATGTGTACACACATATACACACAGTACTACACACAGTACTACACACAGTACTACACACAGTACTACACACAGTACTACACACAGTACTACACACATACACACACATATACACACAGTACTACACACAGTACTACACACATATACAAGATATGCCAGGCACAAGTCAGCCTACGGCCTATAGCATGCACTGTTGGTAACTGTTACCTCACGGGTCCAGCTGACTTGAAGATCGTCATGTACAAAGAAAGGTTGAAAAGTGGATTACTAGCACACCATCTTCCTTTTGTCTAGTTTTGCTCCATCAGACCCCAATCAATTGGCAATGCTAACCGATGTTGTTCCACTGAATTATGCTACTGACGTTAGTGCATTGCGGTGTGCAGCGATCGGTGATCAGTCTGCCAATGGTGTTACTCAGCTGGTTTGTTGTGGTGTGTATACTCCTCCATGGCAGAAACTGCTGGGACAGGAGTGTTCAATGCTGCAAATCAACTAGAAGCTGATGATGGCGAAGTGGTGGAAGATCATCCAGGTAAGGGACGGCACGGTGTACTGGTATTCAGGAGATCATGGAAGACATGGTGGTGAGCAGCTCTGCGATGCTCCACACTGATGTCACTGCCCGGGATTCTACACTGATGTCACTGCTCGGGATTCTACACTGATGTCACTGCCCGGGATCGGGTACCAACTACTGTGTAGCATTACTGATACTTGAAGAGCGGTGTTGAGGGTCCTTCTCTGGATTAGGTCAATAAGATCAGTGTGTGTGTGTGTGTGTGTGTGTGTGTGTGTGTGTGTGTGTGTGTGTGTGTGTGTGTGTGTGTGTGTGTGTGTGTGTGTGTGTGTGTGTGTGTGTGTGTGTGTGTATATGCTCAAGCATGTGCAACCTTGCAGTTCAATGTAGTGCAGTATGATTTGTGTCATCTGTTCCGCATACTATCTAGATCTTGTTGTGTCATCTGTTCTGCATACTATCTAGATCTTGTTGTGGACAAGCCTATTCTCCTGCATGATGATGGTCAAGATGAAGAAGTAATCGAAGAAATCATCCACCACGTGAGTGCGAGACCCGCGACAGGCAGAGCCTACCCTTATTTTGTCCACAGTGCAATCCTACTTGTATATCCTTATCGTGTCTGCTCTTTTCATGCTTTAATATGTCTCAATGTTACAAGTAATCTTTAAATGAGACACACTGAGTGCATGCTAAGAAGCCCCCCCCCCGGGCCCCCCCCCCCCCCCCCAACTCCCCAGACTATTGTGTTTGCCATTCCTGTATACATTGGGTGTTCCACCAATCAAGCGCTGTTTAGTGTCGAGTGCTCTTATAATATAACATTGCTCCATGTGTGTGTGTGTGTGTGTGTGTGTGTGTGTGTGTGTGTGTGTGTGTGTGTGTGCGTGTGTGTGTGTGTGTGTGTGTGTGTGTGTGTGTGTGGGTGTGTGTGTGCGTGCGTGCGTGCGTGTGTGTGTGTGCGCGTGTGTGTGTGTACTGTTATCAGGATTCCTACCAGGGCAGTACACCAGATCCAACAACGCCTAGAGGACTGGCCAGTGCAGCCAGGAATTACAAAGGTACGACATGTGTTCTATGATCGCACATTGAGGGGCAGGGGGGGGGGGGGGGGCACTCGATATCATGCATACCATACACTAGTGCGCCTGGATACTAGCATCGTGTGTTGCCTTTCCTTCACATTCACCAGCCTGTTACGGCCGTTCACATACTGTTCAACATCACTATCAGCATAATGATATGGTACATGAAGCAATGCAATACCGGTACCTGACATTACTATTATCAGCATGTTCTGTCATACAGAAAGTAACACATTACTTGGATTTTTCTTTTAGAATTACTCGTGTAGCTTTCAAGGCTGTGGGAACCCCTCGGGTGCACCACATAAGGAGTGTGTTCAATCTCTTACCCTTTCCGTCTCTCTCTGTATGTATCTATTTCTCTCTCTCTCTCTCTCTCTCTCTCTCTCTCTCTCTCTCTCTCTCTCTCTCTCTCTCTCTCTCTCTCTCTCTCTCTCTCTCTCTCTCTCTCTCTCGCTCTCTCTGTATGTCTGTCCGTCTGTCTCTTTCTCTGTCTCTCTCTCTCTCTCTCTCTCTCTTTGTGACATGCCTTTGCACGGTGGTGCCCACTGATTTCTAGGGCGGAGAAGTAAGCACACCGACAGGCAGCACAACCAGCCTGGACGTCAGCCCTACAGTGATACTTCACCAGATGCAGGTATGGCTAAGGTTTGAATTCTTAGTCACTGCCTGCTTCACTTTCTAGCCAAACTCAACGATATCTGTTATCATGGTTTCTAGTTCCATTTCCTGGTTGGCTTTGGCGGTGCACGGTGCTAGAGGAAAGTGGCTACAGCATGTTTGGTCTTGTGTCTTTTCACTCCTTCTTTGTGTTGACATCATACTCACGAACAGGCCCCTCACGCAAGCCAGCTCCGATTGCGGCTACAAGGCAACCGAGACACATCAAACCTTCGAAGGTAAAGGACACAACAAGTGCTTCTAATGTAAATGCTAGTGTTGCTCCTGCTGGTCAAGCTGGTCGCTTTCTAGGTCTGCCGGTCAAGGATGACTTGCTTATTGCATCGCAGTCTTCGCCGGCCATTATCAACCTCCCGGATAACAGCCACTTGAATGCTCTGGGCGCCAAGCAGATCACACGAAGCGGCACAAACCTCGCTCCCTCGCCACGTAAGTCACCGTCTAAGCTCAGCAGTCGGTCCATGCGATCGCTGAATGACTCTGGTGTTGACAGTGGCACTGGAAAGGCACTGCTGTCGCCCAGGTCTGGCCGTAATACCTCGCGCTCGACTGCCGGATCCAAGCCGAGTAGTCGAGCCGGCTCGAAGGCTCATTCGACGTCTCGTGCAACGAGCAGGGCGAAATCCAAGACTCCAGTAAGACCCCAGGCTGGGTCATCGCCTCTGCCCGATAGTGCACGAGCGGAGTCCACTGCTACAGCACCTAGCCAAGCTAAGGCTACAGCCTCTGTTACTGCGCCTAGCAGAGCTGAGGGTACAGCCTCTGTTACCGCATTTAGCCGAGCTGAGGTTACAGCCTTCGAGCCAGCCACTGACGTCGCCGCTCAGCCTGCTTCTAATTCAAGCACGGCTGAGCTTACTGATACTATTCTAGCTGAGCAAAAGGACCCAGATAGTCCGCCTCAGCCGGCTGGCGCAAACATAGCTGAATCGGTCACCCCCACCAGGGCAGAATCTGTAACTGAGTCACCCGGCCGAGCCATGTCGAGCACTGAGGCAGCTAAACCGGCTGCCTCCAGAGCCGAACTGGCTGCTTCCAGAGCCGAACTGGCTGCTTCCAGAGCCGGACTGGCTGCTTCCAGAGCCGGACTGGCTGCTTCCAGAGCTGGACTGGCTGCTGGTAGCTCCCTGGATACAGCTGCACAAGTCGTTGATAGTGCGGAAGTCGTCCTAGGCGCTGAGGAGCGCATGGACAATGGCAATGTGCCAGAATCACCTGTGCTGCAAGATGCACACACAGCCATAATGCCATCAGAAGAGGTAAGACTGACTAGATATCTGACTCGATTTAACCTATCCACAGTTAAGACACTACAGTTGCCAATGCAGCACAGTATGCAGTCCACGGTGATATTCTTCCAAACTCTGGACACACTGCTCTAAGAAGTATATTTGACCCGAGGGACAAAGACACACAGCACATTCAATTGCAGTGTTTCTCTTCCTCCTGCTGCTGCCGCTTCTCCTGGTGATATGCCTGGCATGGATAGCATGCGCACGGGTTATGCTTAAAGGATCAGCATTCAGTTGCTTGTACGCTACACTGCGTTGGCATCAATCATACGTAAAACATACACAAGATAGTACCAATACACGTACACACACATACTGAGGGTAATACTGTACCAATACACGTACACACACATACTGAGGGTAATACTGTTCCATGATCTCTATATTCCCTTAGGTTTACCTTCAGAGCCCAGAAGAAGGTGCCAATGACAATTATGATCCCACTGCTGATGAGCAAGATCCGCTTCAGCAATCGGTTCTCAGCTCATCAGATATTCATGAGTATGAAGGTGATTCTCTGGATGCGTCGGCCGAGTTCAACGCACAAAACGAGAAATTGGAAGAAACAGTAGGCACGCCAGAGGAGCTGGAAGGAGAGCAGGATGCTGAGTTGCATCGTCCGGAGGCGGAAGGAGCGGAGAGCAGTGCTGCTGTACAGGAAGGCGAGGAGTAGGAACGGAGCGTGCAGAGATGTGTCAGGTTGTCGCAAGTGTGAGTTGCAATCAAGAATGTAGGCATCCTGACAAGGCATTATTTTTGTTTTTGTTTAAAGTTTTGCTGCAAGCAAAGTTCTGTTCATTCACTGGGGCTTGAATTTTCTGGGATTCACTGAATTTTTGTAACTTGAACTTGAATGCGCGTTGATGCATGCATGCACTTGATTGCTGTTCTCTGCTCATTGTTACTTATCATATTTTGATGCCAATATGATGAAATTTGTAGCACATTCGGCCTGGTCATGCCTGATATCAGCTAAAATCAGTAACATCACAAATGTATGCAACATTGCAGCTGAATAGCCGAGTATTGAAAAAAATAAACAGTTGATGATCGCTGGGTTGACGCTGCATGCATCTGGTCACGGTTGGCAATTTCAGTTTGCAGGGTGCAGTGAAGGCTTGTTCTGCTACTGTATTTTTGATGTTGATAATGCACTCTAACCTGCTAAGGCGACCTATGGAACTGATCAAGGTTACTGAAAGCCAATAAGACCTAATCCGCCATTGTTACTGCCACTGAGTTCATAGTACTGTATGCATATTGTAACTCTGCCTGTATGAACAACGGGCTGGTGTGGAAAACTCCTCGGAAAGCAAACATTTCAGATTACGGTTTGGCTTTTGTTACTCGCAAGTGTTCCACGGCTCCCGTCATGCTTCGTCCTATTTGACTGACCGTTGCACTCCAGAGTTATGAGTTGTTGTGGCACTGTGATGGCGACACGCTTTTTTTGCGCACGCGAATTGCGCCTGTTCTTGCGAAATCCCGGCATGAGAATGCACATGAGTATTAAGTGAAGGGAAATCGAGTGTTCTCAGAGATAGGGATCAGGTTAGAAATTTTCCCAAGTCGAACTGTGGAGATCCTTAGTCACTCTGCCGGCTATGAGTAGCCATGCTAACCGTGAGATCTGAGATACCCTCCAGGCCCGGTTTTCAGATAGATGTAATCTCTTCAAAAACAGGCTGCTAATCCATGGAATCTGTTTACCTGCGGAAACCGGGGTTGGATGACATGGTGAAACATATTATATTTGGCGGTGGTTCACGATTTACCAATCCCCCATCACTATACCCTTCACAAGTTTTGCTGATAAATTTCTAAAACAACTCATCAAAATCAGTATGTTTTATTTGTGTGTATGCCTGTCCTGGCTGGAACATTGTGTGTGCATATTCTCACTTTTATTCTCATCAGGAAAACGTTTCAGGGTTTTTTATTTGCTGTATTAAAATTCAGAAAGTGGTTGACATCACGCAACTGCATTGTAAATAAAAGGGGGGTTGTCAACTGACAACCGCTCTATTCAGTTGCTATTCACCCTTCGCGCATGCACTGTATTAAAAGATGCATGCGCTGTACTAAAAGACTAAAATAATATCAGTCTGATCCAATGATGCAGTCTGGTCATTTGAGAGGCATCAATACCTATCCTGTTCTTCTACTGCTTGCATTATTGTTTTCTGACCTGCTTGTGTTGCATTTCTGTTGATAAAAAATCTGTATACTCACGATTGCCTGTTGTTGTTGTTATTGTTGGTGGTGGTGGTGGTGGTGGTGGTGGTGTTGCTGGTTAGTGGTGGTTGTGTGTGTGTGTGGGGGGGGGGGGGGGGGAAGTAATCATGGCTGGGGTGGATGGGGCAATTGTTCTGATGCCGCACATATCATGAGTAATTGAGACAGTACCTTTGTTCTGTTGATTGCCGCTGACTGATCTGAGATTCGTAAGACAATCGGTGTTTCTACAACTGCATACTAGTAATAGCCAGTCATGCAGTGGCTGTCACATATTGCATCAGTACCAGTGCCAGTGTGTGACCAGGCATGGACTGACCTGATGTACATGTATGTGGGACTGCACTGACCTGATGTACATGTGTGTGTGACTGCACTGACCTGATGAACATGTGTGTGTGACTGCACTGACCTGATGAACATGTGTGTGGGACTGCACTGACCTGATGAACATGTATGTGGGACTGACTTGAGGCTAATATTAGACTCATATAACATGCACTTGGTAACCACTGATGATACAAAATTGCACTTCCAAGTCAAAGTTAATACGAACTGAGTCCATGTATGCCAACCTTGCAAGTTTGTACTCTTGCAATGTGGATGCTTGCTTGTTGTGGTACTAGCTGTTAGACTGCACTGCTGCTGCGTGGCGCTTGAAAGCAAAATGTACCCCAAGAACAAGCAATGGTTATCGCCCTCATCTCTGGGGTTGCTCCCCACATTAGCAATGCGTGCACATGCTACGAGATTGAGTTTAATAATAATAATAATAATGCAGCGAATGTATAGTATAGTATAGTATTTATTCATATTTCTCTAATGAATGTAACTCACCCCTTGATGCCAGCAACATATACCAGTGGCTATGGCCACACTTTTGCTGTGCGTTCCCTCCTACATATACCAGTAACTAATGACACACTTAACGTTGTGCGTTCCCTCCTACAGAGACTACCCAAACGACTGCCATGGCAGCTGTGACCCCTTACCGATATCGACGGCCTCTCCCCTTCTTGCCACCCTCCTCGTCGCCGCAAGTGAAGACAATGCGCTATACGTGCAGAATGTGTGACAGGCTGCGACTCGATACAACCTACAAGACACCATTGCTGATCTGCAGTCCGCAGTCTGTTCTAAACGTGCGTATCGGTCTTGCTGTGTACTTGATGCTCTGACGTTGATTGTTTGACAATTTTCCAGAATAGGTTGACTCTAGGACATTTTATTATTATTATGATGATGAATGCTAACATGCTCGCATGCATACCGAACTGCACCATGGCAATGGAAATAGCATGGAATGAATAATTGCCACTTCCTTCATGATTTGATCAATACTCTTGATCACTTCTTGATTCGCTTGTGATGGCTCGGCTCACTATATCAGTCAATGTCCGTGTGTCCATCTGCTTGCCTGTTTGTCTGTCTGCCTGTCTCTCTCACTCAGTGACTTTCTCTTTCTTGCTCTCTGTTTGCCCTCTCTCCGTCCCTCTCTCTTCCCCCCCCCCCTCTCTCTCTCTCTCTCTCTCTCTCTCTCCCTCTTGCTCTGTTGCTCCCCGACTGATTCTCGCACTATGTGTTCAAAATGAAAACTAGCTTTACTTGAGCAGTGCTCTTGGATAGATCCTGGTGGCTTCCATTTGCAATGTACGACCAGTTAACCAGTGCTAGTGAGTGATGCAACGAATGGTGTTTGCGGCGGCTCAAGAGAGTGCTCGATGATGATGAGGAATTCTTGTGCATGTAGATGCTACATGCACAAGGTCATAGCCAGGCCATAAGGTCATAGCCAGGCCATGCTCTTGGAGTCTTGGGTACACAGTCCTCGACCTCCAGACTACTACTTCCTGAAGGACTAGTAGTGCTAGTATCGGGACTGCTCCTACACAGGTGTCCTAAATGTATCCCGAGCAAAACTCACACACTATGTTGATTTGCCACAACCTTGTTTGCAGCATATCATGTGATTGTTGCCCAGGTGTTGGCGTAGCAGCACCAATAATATAGCAGGCCAGAATTCTCGATGCCTTGTCATACAGGCTCTCCCAGGACCAGAATACTACTCTGGCCCGGGAGCTGCGTGCGTGCCTTGGCTGAGCTTAGACTGTTCAGTATCTATGGGTCTGCCTCCTGTGGTGTAGCTAAAGCCTAATATTATAATGCCTGGTGATAGGCCTGTGGTGGAGTGCCGAGGTTGTGGTGAGCCGAAACAACAGGAGAAAGAAGAACCCAGCACGGCCACCGTCTAGGCGTGTACCGCCGTCACTTCCGCCGACTATTCAACTCGGCCTTTCTGTTGGTGTCTATAGATGTGGCGGCCACCCTGCTTTGGTATTGCCGACGGGTAGGTGGCATCAACGGCGAGTCACAGAGGCAGTGGCAGGTCGAAGAAGGTCCCTAGTTTATCAATTTCACCTGTGTTGGTAACTCCTCCGGTGCCGGACAGTGCCTTTCTGGAGATGGCGACACTGCTGGCGCAGCACCCATGAATAATACAGTTCAGTACGAATTCTACAAACATTACCATTGCACCTCAGTGGTGACATCCTTTATTGCTGAACCCACAAATTGTGATACAGATTGTAAAGAACCATTCGAGGTAAAAGAAAATGCCATCAATGAAAAAAGCCTCGGCAGCGCAGTGCCAGTAATGCAGTGTGCTCCATTCTATGCGGGCATAAACAGGCTGAAATAATACAAAAAAGGTCTTTTGCACAGAAACATCAATGGCCCGTATTGAAGAAAAAATATAACATAAGGTGTATGTTGTGTGACAAGTAGTGAGGCATGCATAGCAACAAGTATAATCTAGTTCAACTATCAGTACACTGTACTTGGTACAGTGCAAGCCCAGTGCCCAGCCACATGAGCCTGGTCATCCATGGAGGAAAGGACTCAGTGTCACTCCTACCATGCATGCAACCAACAAGGTGAAAGTAAAAACATCGCAACTAAAAAGCCGTTCCAGCACGAGTCCAAGAAGTACCGCAGCGCCTTCGTAAAGGAGCGACTCATATTAAAATTTTGTCAGGTCGCAATAAAAAGGGCACTTGGCACCAGAACAAATGGAAAACTTGTAGCAGTGGTGTGGTCCCCCGGCAAGGAGGGTACACGAGCAACTCAACACGCTGTACTGTCAAAGCTGTTCTGGACATCATGGATCTTTATCGCCGGACTGTGACTGGCCACATTGCTCAACCTGGAAGGAGCCACAACGGGACAAGTCACTGAAGATAATATACAGCTTGGTTGGGTGTTGCTGAGTGTTGATGATCGTCTTCAAGGCAGGCGGCAATGACCTAGCCATGACATCTGATTGATTGCTAGTTCTTGTAGGAAAACTGCACGATCATACTTGTACATTGTTGAATCTTGCTTGTTTCGGACTGATCAAGAGGCAAACTGAGCGGGGAAAGATTAGATCCTGGTGTTGAACAAGGTGCTGGAATTTCGTATTCATTGTCCATTCTTTCAGCATTGTTTGGTGAAGTCTAAAGCTGGCAGTACTCCAATAGAGGGAAAGCCGATTTGCAGAGGCTATATTCTTGACAGAGTTTATCTGTTGTGTGCCCGACCAGTATCACACAGCAGCTGATGTGATGGGTGCAGTGGGACCTTACTAGGTGCCATGATGTGGAAACACAGCGCACTAGGAGCACCAGCTACTACAGGACTAGTTGATGTAGCCTGGACTCACAGGATGTCCTCCATTTCATCACAGTCCTGCATGGCAGCGGTGATCTGATCCTCTGTGTCACTGAGAACCAGCTGTGGATCCAGAGGTTCAGCATCATCCAGTGCCACCGCCGCTGCTGCTGCCTCTGATGCTGACTTGTGCGGCCGCTCCGCAGACCGGCTGGCGCTCAGCTGCTCTGCATACTCACTAATTGCAGAGTGCTAATGGCAACATGGACACACACACACACACCACATATGCACGTGCACACACACACACACACACACACACACACACACACACCACATATGCACGTGTGCACACACACACACACACACCACATATGCACGTGTGCACACACACACACACACACACACACACACACACACACACACACACACACACACCACATATGCACGTGTGCACACACACACACACACACACACACACACACACACACACACACACACACACACACACACATACACACAGCCATGCACTCAGGTCCAGCGCTGGCGCGGCAGCAGTGGCCAGAGTGCTGTGCTTTGCTTCAAAGCAAAATGCACTGGATCAGCAATTGACCGCTTCCTTTTCCTCGTGTTTCCCTCAGGAGTTCTGTCTCTTTTTCAAACAAAACCACGCAAGTCTGGGTCATCCACATCTGCGTAGCCTTTACGGCTAACGAAAGGTGCCTATTGGCTGTTGGTAACCAACCCCCTAGAGACTGAAAGAAAAGAGGAAAGATGTGTGCGGCCATGAAAACTGGGGTTGGAACCCGCAACCTCTACAGCGGCATAACATGGGACACACACACACGCACAAAGGTGATCTCACCAGACTTCTGCTTCGACGAGTGCATAGCTTGACATCATCGACCATGGCCGTTGCTCTCTTCGCATGCCTATGTACAAACAAAGCAGAAGAAACGTCAAGTGCTATGCTGTTGTGTCATGTACTGACATAAGGAAGTGGTTTATTTTACAGACATATGAGTGTAGATATAGTGAAGAGTCAGGGAGGCCATGCCCAGCAGAGCATGGTATCGTGCGTAGCACGGGGGTAGTGAGAGGTCACGTACCGTCTATGCATGGCGACAGACAGGGGAAGGACTATGCCGTGAATGGGTGAAAGGATAACATGATACAGGATAGGACATATACCACCCTGGAGCAACCAACACATCCTGCATTCACCATCCAACACTTTGGGTCTTCTATCTTCTTTAGCACTTTAAAATTACTACAGCACAGGCACAAATCATCACAGGTAGATATTGCTAAATCAGCTCACAACTTCTCAGTTAGTTCAATCCAGTCAGACTCGCAGCATTCAGATACTTCAAAGTACTTGTAGTGCCATCAAAAGGTGTGAAAAGGCGTCATAGGGGTGCTCACTTGCGAAAGGCTTCTACGTCCTTGGCAACGGTCTCTGCAAAGTGGTAGCTTGCTTCAGCCATAGCCTTCACAAAGGCAGGAGAAAATTGCTGACCGAGCTCTTTTTCTGGCAGAATACATGTAAACAAAGTTGAACAAACACACACACGCCGAAGAACAGTACGGCAATCAGTGCTCCTGGCTACTTAAAAAATGTTGAATACATGCACGCACGTGCACGTACTCAAAATAATAGACAAATGTAAAGAAACATGCTGCAACGGCGTTAAAGAGTTCTGAAAAATGTTCATACACACTTGGCACTTGCACACAGATGTAGTGGAACCTTTCTGAAAGTATATATCTCAGGAATTCAGCTAGAAACAGTCACATCACATACAGTATAATATACAATGCTTCAAAGTACACATACCGGTAAATTGTATACAAAAGGTGTAGGGTGGCTGGCCACCACCAAGAGCTGCAATACGTACAAACACATACCCAGTCCTGTGCAGATGGAGGCGGTGGTCTTGTGAAGAGAATTCTTCAATTGCTGAATTGTCAAAAATTAGACAGCAACAAAAGAGAACTTGCATTGAAAGATGTGCTCCAGGCATGGCCAACTGCACCACTCAACACGGTATTTTTTTTTTTTTTTTTTTTTACTAAGGCCACAGCTTCCAATCATGACATGCAAACGGTGATCTGCATCACCCCAGTCAAGAGTACATATCGTATTTCCGGGGTGTTAGCCGCACCGGGGTCTAAGCCCCCCCCCCCTCCCCTCCCTTTACGGGCCCAAACTTCATACTTTTGTTGACATTCGGAGTATAAGCCGCATTTCAGACTTTTGGGCAACCTAACCTAATGGGTACCAGTACATACAATACGCTACAAATGGTTATAAAGTTAAGAAGCATGACTGAAGTTCAAGCAAAGTTTCCTAGTTTGTCATTCACTCTGAACTGACAACATGTAGAAGATCCGTGCTAGTGCAATGAATGCCAATGATGGATTGCACTATGTGAAAAGTAGTCAACTGACACCTTAACGCTACATGCATTATGCATGGAGAATTGGTTGATTCGCAGCCAGCATTCGGAGTCTAAGGCCGTGATCGTTTGCTTGGATCCAGATCCGTAGAATCCACTCGATCTGGAACGATCGATTGGTCGCATCCCGATTAAGATCCAACGGTTTTGGATCCAAGCAACCCTGGCCCAGGAGCAGGGTTGACTGGATCCAACGGATTCATTGTTGCCAAACAAAACGTCTGTACGCATACTTGCCAACCCTACCGGAATTTCCGGGAAATCAAGGAAAACTCGCTTTCATCCCGGTATACCGGAAAAGTTATAACATCTACCGGATTTTCGAAAATGTCCGTCAACACCTTTTTTGTTGATTTTCAGTGTTCTAGACGCTCCCTCGCAGTGCTGTGCCCAAAACGAAGGTGTAGCGAGCGAGAACTTTTGAATTAGCGCATAAAAAAGCACTTTTTTGTCGTACATGTTGTACTAGTTGCGAATGTTTTGTGATCATGGTGACGTCACTATGATGTCATATACAATACTTTGCACAATTATGATGTAAAAATCCCAGATCAAGGAAAAATGGGCAAAATCAAGGAAAACCGTCATCAGTGTCAAGGAAACTGTTTGCCAGGGGTTGGCAAGTATGTGTACGTGTTTTGCGGGTAACGATCGCATTCAGTACACATACACGTGGGAAAGCATAGCATCGTGCAGATGAGTAGCCGCTCTGCATACGAGCAAAAGGGTACTCCGGCACAGTAAATGCACAGATATGATGCTATGCAACTGTACCGTCACTGTAATACAGTAGCTCCCTTCACGAGTCATCAAAACGACGTAAACGACGAATACCGCTTTCCCGAAATTATAGTGAAGTACACACTCTGGTGCATGTGCTTTTGAATAATTGTGTAGTTTGTGTCCGCCATCACTGGGAATGATGATGATGAGGTTTACAAATACAATCATAATACTACGGAGGCAAGAAGGAATGCTCTGTTTGCCAGGATTTTCCAGCTTGGTGAGTGTCTGTGTGGGCAGGGGTGTATTTTTCGCCAGTTGGGTTTCTACTCCCTACACTCTACAATGGTTACATACTCGTACTAGGAAGAGTTTATAACCCTCCTGGGGCTTATATACTCTTGGTAGATCTACAATGTAGTTGCAACTAAAGCATGCAAAAAACATTGTGCTTTTCAAAAATTTCGAAACTTGTGTACCTGAATTTTTTCCTCTTTGGCAGCGACAGCCTCGTCTGCGCGATGGCGTTCAATGGCATCTTGAACTTGTTTAGGGGCTGCTCCTCTTCGCTGATGAATCTTATTCGTGGACGCAGCTGAAGCTGTCTTCTTGGGGCGACCCATTCTTCTCCATCAAGGCATCATCGATCAGCGTAGATCTACGAGTAGAGTCGATGTCCCCATTCGAGAACATTTCGAATTTTTTTTCGAATTTGCCGCGGCAGCATGCCTGCATCATGTCATGTGCATGTACCATGCATCATCACTTGCTGAGTAGCTGTACGAGTACGACTACGAGTACGAGTGCTAGTGCACGTCGACGTCGACATGTCGTTTGCTTGAAAAATCGAAAAGCACACACACGTGCGTTTCCAGCATGCGATCGAGTGGTGTCATCTGGTCATAGTCATGTAAATAATTGCATCCATTGTTCTTTTATAATCTAAACTTGTTTCTTGACTATCACATGGAAATGTTAGTTCTTCAAGCTTCGTTATCTGGCACACAGTTTGAGTTTGAGTAAGAGACTATAACAACGTCGTCATGGATCGAAAACTGACCGATGAAGAGGTACGTTATGCTCGTGGTCGATGCGACAATGTTCTCTTTTCTGTGGAAATGTTAATTAAAGGCTATTTCCAATTGGTCCATGTTTCAACCTTTGTTTTGCTGAAGAATGATGGAAGGCCGTTGATTGACCGTAGCAATGGTGATCATTCATCCGGCAAGCGTAGCAACAGGACAGCTGGTGCTCTGGTATTGCTAATAATCTCACTATGTGCACTGGGGGCCACTGGATACATAACCTACTTCTTTGTCACCAAACATGATGAGAATAGCGGTGACAATACGTCCTGTAAAGGCAACACCACGACGAACAGGTTGGTGCCATATAAATGGTCATGCTTTGGGTGCTGCATCATATGTTTGAATCAGGAAATAGTAAAAGACAGGAGATGACACGAGCACACACGGCCAGATTGACGATTGCCTCAGAACCGTTTTCACAGGGCGGGTGAGATTGCGATAATTGCGATAAGATGGTTAATACCAAGGTATGCAGGTACACGCGTGGATCGATCCGCGTCATGGCAGGACCATCTTGAATTGAGCAGGGACCGCCACAACTTCACTATTTAGCAAGACATTATTTTAGGCGCGCACCAATGGCAAATAGAGGACTGGGCATGGGCCGCATAAGGGCCCGGTCACACATGCACTGGGGTTCGCTTCGGCGTCGAGGTTCTGCGACAGCGAGCCTGGTGTCGCTCCAGCGAAACCACTTGTGTATGGTGACAGTGACTGTCACTATGGTCACACATACAAACAGGGCAAACTCCTACTTTGGCGGAAAATGAGAGTAAAGTGGACTGTGGTGCATACGGTACGGAGAATAGAGGAGGTCAATGACTATCTTGCACGCATTTTTGTTGCATGGACATCATACGCATACAAATTTCTCGTTACAAGTCCATATACAGCAGACCGTGGTGTTTTCTGCTGAAGCGAAACCGCAGAAGCGAGAGTTCCGCTCCCAACATTTTGGAGGCAGCGGATTTGAGTTTCCGCTAGAGCGGAAGTTCCGCTTTTCGCCGTTATCATGGCATGTTTCGCTCCTGCGACGTCGCTTCAGCGGATTCGCTACTTTTGAGTGCATGTGTGACCGGGTCCTAAGCGCGTAATAAGCGCAAATAGCGTAAGGCGTACCCACGAGGGCCACAACGTGAGAGTATGGCAGCACGAGCAGAGTACGATGCCGGATCAACGCAGGGCGGACTAAGGGTGTGGTAGTGCTACAGCACGAGGCACTTCAGCAGTTGGAGGTGACGAACGCAGGGACAGCATCAGTATTGGCAACTAGAAGTAGATGATAGGCATGATTTTTTTCTTTTTTTCTTTTTCTTCAAGACTAAAAACTAGGAGCAGCAGGCAACCCTCGTTTAACAATGGTGATTGCATAATCACATGGCAACAACAACAAAAATTCAACCCCATTCTATATTGCTATGATGTGTGTGTCTCGGGGGGAGGGGATAACTGGGGATCTTGGCTACAACCCACATACTAGTGCTTCGATTTTCACAACGTACCCTCAAGTACTCGACCTTTTTTTTTAAATTTCTTGTCCGCCACGTTATCGAGCCAATCAGGCACAGCTTTAGACTCCTGCACCGCAAACAACTTATGCTCAATCTTCAAAAATCAGGATTTAATAGTGGCGTGTCATCTCCCGATATTTTACTTCTCCCTGATTTGCAGTATACTTCTGCGCGGCACGATCCCATGGGATATTCACGGTCATGATTGGCCTGCCGCGTGTGCATGTAGAAGGCGAACATGAACACCTCTCTTCTCTCGTGTGCTCTGATTTTCTCTCTAGCCTCTGTAATATAACACTTGTGGAAAGCATTCCCGAGGGTCTGACCTATCCGGAGGGCTCCCCACGCCACCCGAGCACCTATGAAACGTGGATGGCGATGCTACGCTCAGCAAACAAGACTGTGGACATTGCGTCGATGTACTGGACTCTCCGTGCTGTGGACAGCGGATATGACCACCCAACTGCATGGCAGGTAAATGCAGATTGCCCATTGCATAACTGCAGAAGACCCTGGATTACTAGCGGCTTTAATACTGGTATTAAACTGATATCAGGGCTCGCAATGTGTTACCAGCATATGACGACCAACCAGCCAGTGCATGTAGATGTGTGTGTGTGTGTGTGTGTGTGTGTGTGTGTGTGTGTGTGTGTGTGTGTGTGTGTGTGTGTGTGTGTGTGTGTGTGTGTGTGTGTGTGTGTGTGTGTGTGTGTGTG